TCAAAAATTTAACGATTCTGTCGTTTAGGATGTGATACATTTGGGTTTTATGTTATTGTAGGACATCTTTGAAAGCTGGCTTTGTGATCTGTTTAAATTCATATGTAATGATGTTACCACTGGCAAGTCTTAGCAGTGACACTGATAGCCACACAGTGAACATGGCCACACTTACCGGAGACTGGGCACTAGTCAGTATTATGTACATGTAAAACTATTTTGAATAGTGTAACAACAACTAAACATTACCAAATTAAAAACTTAGAAATTTGAAACAAATGTTTTTTAGCCAAATCAAAGAATAAGAGTACTTACCACAGGGTACCCAATCTGCTTTTACAGGTGAAAGTTAACCCCCCCTTTTATCTGTAATTAGGACCATTTGTAAACGGGCACCCCTCCAGTATTAATCGGTAGGTGCTAAGGAAGCTCTGTGCCAAATTTGACACCTTTGTCACGTCTGTAACGATCCGGCCTATATTTTGCACTAAGAGACCTGACTACCATGCTTTTTTACTTTTTCATAGCCATCATAGGTTACCTTACTTTTCATTCCAAATAAAGGTGATTCTGATGATGAACTGTTAGATGAAGAACCTGACTTAGATACAGCCATGTTAAATCATAGTGGTGGTGTTAATAGAATACGGGTAAGTTAACATTTTTAAGAAGAAGGGTCTTTTAGGGGCTTTTCAATAATTAATATTACCACTTAATTCTCCTTTTACACTCAGGGCACTTTCCAAAAGTCAGACCTGGCAGGCCAGACCATGGCCGGACCTGTCATTTTGAAAATGAAATAGTCTTTTTCCAAGAGTTTTTGCTGATAAACAATTTCCTTCGCACATGCTATATAGGATTTGACTGATGTGGCTGGATAGCTTTGATTAAAAGTTAAATTCTCATAAGATGGGAGTAGCCTGGCTGGTCAGTTCTTACAATTGGAAATTGCTGTAGGCGAATATGAACTGTATTTTATTCCAAGGATTGTCAGGCTCGATTCCTAAAAGGTTACAACACTCCGAAGGGTCCAACTTCTAAAGGATTACACAGGATTCCACAGATTCAATTCACTTAAGGCTCACAGATCGTCAAGATGGCTACAAGAACGCAACACGTTTTCGGATCTCTCCCAGAAGGCCTAGCGCGCTCCTAAACTCTTACGTCATCGCGCACACTCCCCCCCGTGGACCATGAAGAATGGTCCACCTTCTATACCTAGAATCAAACATCGAAAAGAAATAAAAAAATAATAATGATATAACTCAGTGAATATAGTCCCTCTCTCAAAAAAAACTGTTCAATGTTGAGAATACATAAACAAACTTAATGTTCGTCTTGTAATTCAGAAATCCACTGTCTTCTTCTTCGCTCTCCCTCGACTGCAGCTCTACGCCGCTCTCGATTTCCTCTCGCTCGACCTTGCGTCGGCTGTTCCGGTGATTCAAGTACTTGTTCCTGAGGAGCTGCTTCATTCGTAGAACAGCTTACTTCCAGTGGGTACAACAATTGTAGCGGTCTCCTTAAGAGTCCACCTCCACTTGATCCTCTCCCTTGGACTCTGACCTCAGCACCTCTACTCTGCCCATCCTTGCTCATCAGAAGCCGTTCCACCTTGCCCATCTTCCAATAAGATCTTGGGTGGGTTTCGTCATGAACCAATACCAGATCTCCGACACACACTACCCTTGATCCCGCCGTCTTCTTCAATTGGTTATGGGCATTTCGTAATTCAAGAAGGTATTCTGCTCTCCAACGCTTCCAAAAATGAGTCAGAATCATATCAAGGTGTCTTGCTCTTCTGCTCAGGTCGTCCGGCGAAATTCTAAAGTCTTCATCTGAAGGACTGTCTATTTCAAGAAGGGCGCCGAGTCTTCGACCAACAATGAGGTGGGACGGTGTGAGGGGTTCTTCCAGGTCCTCAGAAGAGACATATGAAATGGGTCGGCAATTTAAAATCATTTCAGCTTCTGTAACAACAGTTACAAGTTCATCATAGGAAAGCTTGGCTCGGGCCGATTGTCTTCTTAAGACATCTCTTCAGTGACTTGACAAGTCGTTCGTAAAAGCCTCCCCACCATGGGGCTTTCTCTAAGTTGTAGGACCATTTGATCTTCTCTTGAGCAAAGTACTTAACAACACTGGGATCATTTGTAATCTTCTCAACCTCCTTATAAGCACTCTTGAAGGTCTTCGCATTGTCTGATACCACTAAAGAAGGCCTTGAACGACGAGCTACAAATCTTCTGAAGCACCTCAGAAATGCCTCTGAAGTCATATTGGGCACAACCTCGAAGTGGACAGCCCTCGTAGAACAACAAGTAAACAAACAAATCCAGACCTTACATTCTTCGTCACTGGTAGACTTCACAAAAAGAGGTCCAACATAATCCAAACCGATGTACGAGAATGCAGGCGCCTCTTTCACTCTGTAGTTAGGCAGGGGTGGAGCTTGTGGAACCTTATACGGTTTCCCTTCAAACTTCTTACAAACTGTGCATCTAAACAACAAACGTCTGATAAAGTATCGGCCTCGAACAATCCAAAAGTTCGATCTCAACTCGGTGAGTGTTTCCTTAACTCCTCCATGCATGACTCTTTCGTGACATCTCCAGACTACAAGTGTAGTTAAGTGGTGGCTAGCGTCAAGCAAGATTGGATACTTCGCAGAATCCGTAAGCTCGCTGTTCCCGAGTCTACCTTGACATCGAATAACTCCCTTATCGTCCTCAAACAACCCTAGCTGGTGCGACCTCATCTTAAACTTCTCCTTACTCTTCATCTCTCGTTGTACTTCCTTGATCCATAGAAGTTCGGCTTCTTCTATGTCTGCACCGGTCACACGTATCTCCGGCTTCTGATTCACATCTCCCTGTCGCTGTGCCTTTAATAGCTTAATAAACTTCAGAACCAAGGCTGTAACTCGCAGGAGACGTCCAAGATTACTGAAGGCTTCACTTTGAATGATATTAGACAGCATAGTAGGTTCACTGTTCATTGCAAGAGCTGTCATTACTGTCTTCCGATCCTTCACCCTCATTTCTACAAGGCAGGCCTCAGGGACTGGCTCTTCCGCAATCTCCTTCCGATTCTCCAGGCCTTCGAAACTAGTCAGCCACTTGGGACCATTCCACCATAGCACACTGTTCTCCAACTCACGACAGTCCATACCTCTAGAGAGTAAGTCGGCTGGGTTGTCAGCCCCTGGACAATGATTCCAGCATTCTTCAGGTACAAGCTTTCTTATCTCGTCAACACGGTGCTGAACAAATGGTTTCCACTCCTTCTGGCTCTGAACAATCCAATACCAGGCTATCTTGGAATCTGTGCAACAAAACAATTTGTCAATCTTCATCTCAGAACTAAGTGCTTCCTTTACGCTATGGATCAGTCTGGACAGGACTACCGCGGATAGCAGTTCTAGACGCGGTATCGTCTGCTCCGAGAGAGGTGCTACTCGTGTTTTTGAAGATACAAATCTCACATAACTTGCACACGTCGTCACAATACGCAGAAAGACCACCGCACCGTATGCCTTAGCTGATGCATCACAGAACCCATGCAGTTCACTCGCAATCACTTCCCCTTCCGTGCCGGCATAATAACATCTCGGAAGAGTAAGAGGTTTAACACCCTGCAGTTGTGTCACCAATCTCTGCCAGATTGACTTGCAAGAACCTTCCAGTGGTTCGTCCCAGTCTCTCTTGTCCTTGCACAACTCTTGAAACAGGATTTTAAACTGGAGTGTGATCGGAGAAATCAGACCGAGTGGATCATACATTTTTGAGGCTGTGCTAATCACGTTTCTCTTAGTAGGTTCTACTCTCTTTACTAAAGAGGCAGTGTTTGTAAAATCAAAGACGAGGTTGTCATTGTGATAGTTCCAAAGAGTCCCTAAAATTCTTTGAACGCTAACATCTTCAACTGCACTTCCTAGAACACTTCTTGAATAGGTCATATCTTCTTCTTCCACGACGTTTGTGTCTACTACTGGTGTTTCAACAACCTGCTTGTCAACATTCCCTCCATCTCCAGAAGCTGTTTCTCCTGAGACCAATCTCTCATTGTCCTCAATTCTCGCTCGCAGTTCTCCTGAATTTGTGATAAACTTCCGCAAATTGAAACCTGTTTCCCTGAGCCTCGATTTCGATTTCACATAGAGCTCAAAGGTGCTGTCCACGTCACTGTCCCCCGATGTCAGGTCATCAACATAGATACTTTCAAGAAACTTCCTGGTAAAATCAGGGTCACATTGTTCATACTGCTCTATATGATGTTTAATTGTGGCGTTCAGTAAGAATGGGCTTGAAGAGAGTCCAAACACAACACGTGTAAACCTCAGTGTAATAACTTTAGGTTCAGCCTTATCGATGTCATCGACCCACAGGAAACGGAGTACATCCTTGTCAGTTTCATTCATATGGACCATTAAGAACGCCTTCTCAATGTCTCCCACCAGAGCTACTCTGTGATTTCGGAACCTCAACATAATGTCAAAGATACTTTGTGTAAGCGCAGGACCGGCATGAAGACAATCATTTAATGAAGCTCCATCTGACTTGGCTGAGGCGTCATATACAATTCTTAACTTTGTAGTTGACTTGTCTCGTCTGATAACAGCGTGATGAGGGATGTAATGGACAACATCAGGCTTGGTTTCTTCATTCACAACTTCCACAATTCCTCTTTCGATTTGATCCTTTATAACACTGTCATACTCCTTCAGGATGCCTGGCTTCTCACGGAGTCGACTCAGCAAACCTTGCAATCTTCGAAGACTCAACTCATAATTTTCAGGGAGTGGTGGATGTGTAGCCTTCCACGGGAGACTGACCTCATAGTGGTCTCCCTTGTACAACAACTTCTCAACAAACTCTTCATAGACACTTGGCGGCTTCACACCGAGAGACTCTAAGTCCCAGAACTTCTTCAACTCTCCCTGAAGACCATCATAAGACACTTGATCAGTAGCACATTTTAAGACATGGGTTGTCACAAGATTACTTCTCTGTTGATTTTCTACACTCCCTAAGTAAACGGGTCCTGAAAGTACCCATCCCAGTTTGGTGTGAACAGCTGTAGGACCTTGGGCCCCTTTAATGGTGTGGCCAGTCACCAACTTCCAATAATAATCTGAACCAACTAGAATGTCAACACCAAGAGTCTCTCCTTCGGTACAAAAGTCAGCAAGTTTGAGTCCCGAAAGGCAGGGGTTATTTTTCACTGCTAGTTCCACAGGTTGACCTTGTAATGGTTGACAAATTAGAGGCAATGTAAAAGCTGACAGTGAAAGATCTGGTTCTCCGTTTAGCTCTACTCCTAGGGCCACAACTTCTACCAACTCTAATCTTTCAACGGTACTTCCAAAGGTTTTTATTGAGACTTGCTTCTTCTCTATTGTAGGTAGTTGAAGAATGTTCCTCAGGTTGTTTGTAAGATAGGTGCGCTGACTTCCACTGTCCAAGATTATTCTAACCCTGACCTTAACCTCTGGCTGTTGAGGATTGTACACCACGGCTTGGGCAGTTTGAAGGAACACAGGTGTAGTGGAATCAGTATGAAAAACGACACTATTGCTGGCAGTTTGGGCTGTTAAGCATTGCTGTTGTGGTCCTGGTGTGGGAACTGGTGTTTCAGGTTTCGTTGGCTGTAAAGGACTCAGGTTGGCTTGTCAAATACTAACATGGTGTCTGCCCTTGCAGTTATGACACTTGAATTTGGCTGAGCAGTTACGACTAATGTGATCTTTTCGCAGGCAAACAAAACATCTCCCGTACTTCTTCAAAAGCTCCTTACGAGCTAGTACATCAGGTACTGTTTGGCAATCCCTTGATGGGTGTTTTCCCCTACAGTAGGTGCAGGTGGGACAGTTAGCATCACCACCAGTTAACAAGGCATGAGTAGTTCCTTCTTCCCTTCGTTTCGGTTTTGGTGGAGAGGTTTGTCCTTTGTTCACTGTAGACCCTCCTGCCCTTTCTCTTGCCTCAAGTTCTCTTTTAAAAATATTGAGCAATTGATCCAACTGCCAATCATCATCTCCAATTTCTCTTGTAATAACAAGACGAAATTCTTGGGGTAGCTTATTCATTAAGATGGATGATAGCAAACCCCCATACGATTCACGTGAAACTCCTAATGACTTTAAGCTTCTCACATTAGATTCAACAGTGTCGTGCAGCTGACGTAGGCTTCTTACATGATAGTGAGATGTGACAGATTCAAGATTCAACAAAATTTCCATGTGACGATTAATTATTTGCTGCTTGTTGCCAAATCTAGCTTTCAAAATGTCTACTGCTTCCTCATAGTTCGATGCCCCAAGACTTAACCCGGAAATGGCCTCTGCCGCTGACCGTTCGAGCAACGAGTTTAGGTAGTTAAATTTGTCAATGGCAGTTAAACTCTCATTTTTATGAACTGAGGCTTCAAAACTATCTCAGAAAGAAATCCACTTACTGTGATCGCCGTCGAACTTCTTTAACTCCAGCTTTGGCAATTTAACTTGAGTATTTCTCCGCACAGATGAAGAGGAATTCGACGTTGAAGCTGAAGGAGGCGAAGAATTACTCCCGATTTGAACTTCATTTGCTGACGTGCTTTCCGCCACGTTCGCTTCGGTATTTACATTTGAACACACGACCTTCGGCGACAAGGCGTTTTCTATGTTAGCAATAGCCAACTGAACATTTTCCTCCAGCAAATCTGCTCGTTCAATTTCACCTTCGATTTCTTCTTCGGCCACAAGGTCAAGAATTTCTGCATCAAGTTGCTGAAGAGTATTGAGTTTCTGCTGTAGGCTGTCCCTTTGTTGTTTCAGCTTGATTTGGTGTTCCCGCACTTGAGAAATGTCTCCTCCTCCAAGGACATCAATAACGGATGAAATAATACGTTTCGCACTTGACCTGTGCCCTGCACGCTGCCGTCGCTTTCTGGCGAGTTCTTCGGCCATAACACAACACAACTTCACTCACAACTGGTACGTAGCATCCGCTTTTATCCGGCTAACGATGGACCATGTAGGCGAATATGAACTGTATTTTATTCCAAGGATTGTCAGGCTCGATTCCTAAAAGGTTACAACACTCCGAAGGGTCCAACTTCTAAAGGATTACACAGGATTCCACAGATTCAATTCACTTAAGGCTCACAGATCGTCAAGATGGCTACAAGAACGCAACACGTTTTCGGATCTCTCCCAGAAGGCCTAGCGCGCTCCTAAACTCTTACGTCATCGCGCACAATTGCCCATAGTTGTTTAATACAACAAGTACCAAGTATAGCCTATGTGTAGCTGTTACAGGTGAAATGATATTCAGATTAAAATTTTTTACTTAGGTTAATTCTTAATTTTCTTTGTCTACTAGCCCTAATTCATGAACAATCAGTGGTGGGAGACAAAGGAAATTGAGAATCAACCTAGGTTAAAAATTTAACCTGAATTAAAGTTTGACCAGTAATATAGCCATTCCCTATCCCCCCATTCCCCCCCCCCACCCCACCCCTCCACAGAAAAAACAGAAAGGAGGGAATGAGTGAAATTAAAATGATAATAATCATTATTTATTTAATTATAATTATTATTTAGCAAAGTGAAAAATTAATATTGGAGATTTGAGGGTGGATGATGGTAGTTTCTTTTTTGTCAGTTCTTTGTTGCTTTTCCTCTTGCTTTGAGTGATCCAGTGTGAGTCGTTAATTACAGTAAAATGTTCGAGCTTACAAGGTCAAAATATACTTCTCAAATCCTGTCAGTAGGTACCAATAAAGCCAGCCTAAATTTATTTCACAATATTTAGTGACCTTAGTGACTGTCCATTTTGAGGTTTTTGTGTTTTGTTATTAGTATTCATCAATCCCTGAGCGGCATATAGTAGCTTCATGGTCTGAAAGAGGACAAGTTCATATCTGGGACGTATCTCAACAAGTGATATCAGTTGATAATCCAGCAATTTTAGCTGGACCAAGTCATGCAAAAGACTTTAAACCACTGTTTACATTTGATGGTCATCAGGTCAGCTTAAGTACACTAATAGCTTAGTAGTCACTCCTAGAATGAATATTATTTGACGAAGAGAAATCTAGGTTTTACGTATTTGTGTTAGTGCTAACGGTGAGTTTATTGTGATGAGGTGTGACTTTTAAACTCAAACCTTTTCAGCAGTTCTTTCACATGGTACTATTTTTAAGTACAAGTGTATTCTACAAAAAGAAATTCTTGAATTTTTGATTTGTGACAGGCAATGACTGAATTTGGCAAATCGTTTCGATTTATTATTCACCTGCTAGCAAACAGACTAAATGAACAAAATTAAAAATCACAATATGAAATGTTTAAGTACTAGGTGTTCCTTACCATTAACTTAGTGTCCTTAGTTTCTCCAACACATCAATTTACAAATAAGTGAGAAATTAATAACCGCGAAGTCAAAATACAGTTAATGTCAGTTGTTATTAATCTGAATTCTTAACTCATTCGTTTTTTTTTTAAGACGGAAGGTTTTGCTATGGATTGGTCAAGTACTGTCTGTGGAAGGTAGAAAATGCATTTACTGCTTAATAGTTTAACTTTAAAGACTTAAAAAACACAACACTTTGCTGAAAGAGTTTCTTTAATGTTTAGATCGTGAGCAGTGTCCCATATTTTTTGGACTTAAGAGCTGCAAGATGTGAGAAGCGAGGGTTACAGCTGCCTGGCAGCTTTTCCGTGTCATGCTCTCAGTCATATGCGTTACTATTTCCTTCTCTTGTGTTTTTGTTCAACGGACTGAAAAAAATGATAATATTACATTTGATAAATATGATATTAAGAATTAATTAAGTTTTACTTAGAAAAAAAAACTTGACTTTAATAAACCTTTATAAATGGGGTTCCCATAAAACCTAAAGTGCGATACATCAAAGCTTATGTGGAGCTGATACTAGATAATTTTTAAATGCTGGCATTAACTACTATTTCCTCAGTATTTTTTAAAAAAATCGTTCTTAGGGGTATAATAAAAGGGTGACACTAAAAACAACATAATAGCCATTTAATAGAACTGATCAGGCACTTGTATTAAACTCTAAAATACACTGTATCCTGACAACCAAGATGGGTTTCGTTTATTGTCTGTCTCACGACGTTTCGACCGCGTACTATCTTCATCAGGCGATAGTAGGCAGCTTAAGCAACTACGACGACGACCACAACAACTGCTCTGCACGTGCATCACGCTTTTTAGTACATTTCTCTGACGTCCACTGCACGTTTTGTGGAGGATGTGGATATACGACGACAAATTGTCCTTTCTCTATTTGAACATGGATAGAATCGTTAAGAATTCAACTCCAGGAAAACTCGGCTACATTTGACGAAATATGCGGTTTCAAATACACGCGATAAATTTTGAAAGGAAGCAAATTCATTTTTTTTTCGTGCATGATGTTTCAGGTGTTTTCACTTCCGTCGTTGTCGTTGTTGTTTAAGGTCCCTAGTGACGAATTACTGAGTGGGACTATTTGTACCACCTGGTTCGAGTAGTCCTACTTAGTAAAATAAATGGACTCTATCTAGAGGAACAAGTAAAAGGAAATTAAGTAAAGTAAGAAAACTAGAAATTTGTCTTGTTTGAGATTAGATTAGCGACAGGTGATTGCAAGAGGAATATTCATCTTTGGTCGGCTGTTGAAGGTGGCAGCTGGCATGTTGATCAGAGACCATACAATTCTCATACAGACTCTGTTGAAGACATACAGTGGAGCCCTAATGAACAGAATGTAAGCAAACTATCTAGTAACAAAATTAGCGGATGGTTATGCGAAATCGTCAAAGCCTGAAAGCTTTTTACTTAATAGTACTTTCAAACTGTTGATGTTGCGTACCGTTTTTCTTTGCATTGCTGAAGGACGTTGTTATCATTACATGATTTGTTATTCCTTTAGGGGATGAAAGTCCTTTGAGTAGAGCTAGTTCTGCTGACTTTTAGTATTTCAAGTTCCTTTATTCTTCATTGTAATACTTACTCACCAGTTGAGTACATTGTGCGAGTAGCCGAGGAGACATGGCTTGACAAGTCGCTCATAAGCTTTTGAAATGAAACCTTCTTTAAAAGTACTACCAAAAGATTCATAAATGGTTCGTCACGCGTTCGTTCGCTGGAAAGGAACTCTTGACGAAGCCCTAAGAACGTCTTCGTGGGCGGCTGGTGTGAAGAATACAGGTCTTATGATACAGTGATGTTAATAACTGTCAGTGTCTTATTTATCCTTAACACAGGTATTTGCGTCCTGTTCAGTGGACAAAACAATACGAATCTGGGACGCGAGAGCCAAACCCTCCAAAGCCTGCATGTTGACTACACAAGCACATGAGGCTGACGTTAATGTTATTTCTTGGAACAGGTGAGATGTGGCTCAGTTGCAATAGTATTATAAATGTTATTTAAACAAATAAACCCCCATTTGTTTCATTTTCAATCTGAATTTATTTTATACTAAAACTTTTAAGTATGGATTGTTTTAGAGCATTCAGAGCAACAATTAGTTTTTGAATATGAAAAGCTTCATGCTAAGGTAACCTCCTTCAACAATGATGGCTTCACACTTTGCAATGGAGTTCCCAGAAACGTGAGAAAATTATTAATTGAGGTGAGAGAACGTATGTGACGCGCACTATTTAGGAAGTAATAGGAAGCTTAAGATCGGAACACGCCGTCGGTGGCGAAAAACGTTGTTTCTTAGGAGAAGGAGAGGAAGAAGAAAAAAAAAAACACCTGATCGCAGAGTTGACGCTCTCGTTGCCGTCGCCGACGTCGGATTTTTAAAAGTAATGCAAGTGAAGTGCTACTTTACCGTTATACTCTAGCTGTCTGCAGATGAAAACATTTAAAGTTCTGTTTTGGATTTCTATTCAGAAATGAACCATTCATAGTTTCTGGAGGCGATGATGGTGTTATAAAAGTTTGGGATCTTCGGCAGTTTCAAAGGTATGAGGATTCATCTCAAGGGTACCTGATCAGTCAACATCACAGGCACACCAACCTGATCATACAGGGTGTACCATCAGTCAGTTTAACACAGAAAGACATGTCAGCTATACTATTCCTATAATTGTAAGGATAGTATCAGAGAATGTATGTCCTTCGTTTTGTCTGTCTGCATTTGACCATCTGTTAACATAAGCGTGCCTTGCGTAATTAGCTGAAAAAAGCATCCCAGTGCAAAACGTTTGCTCTTGGTAGTTCAATATCTGACCCTGCGGTTATATAACAATTATTCGCTTAAGGCGAAGTTAATATTGTTGAAATATCTCCCAGAAGAAGTCGAGGGGATTATTCAACAATATTAACTTCGCCTGAGGTAAATAATTGTTTTAGTATATTCACAGGGTATATAACATTTCTCCCCCCTTTGTCTCTTTACAGTGGTGTATCTGTAGCAGTATTCAAGCACCACACAGCACCTATCACTTCAGTTGAGTGGCACCATACTGACAGCTCAGTATTTGCTGCTTCTGGATCAGATAATCAAGTTACTCTGTGGGACTTGGCAGTGGAGCAAGACAACGATACCGAAGGCGAAGGAAGACATCTGGATGTTCCTCCACAGCTGTTGTTCATCCATATGGTATGGATGTCAGCAGAGATTAGGATTTTATCTCTACCGTGGAACCTCTCCTTTAGGACTCCTCTATTCAATACAAGGGATACCTCCATTCATGGGACACAAAAATTGGTTCCCTTAAAATGTTCACCTCCATCTTTGTATTTTATTACCTCTATTGATTAGACACCTCTATTCAGGGGAAAGAGACACTTTTTCGGGGTCCCGAAACCTGGGTTTCAACACCTTAGTACTAGAAACGTGACAGACCACAAAAAAAAATAATAAAATTACTTTAAGTGAACACTAGGCTAGTCACAATTGATGGGGCATAATTTACCATATCAGCTGGTTTTACTAGACTACGAGCAGTCACTCATTTCCTCAGTGATAGTGAAGCGAGAGAAATACGGGAGGTCGCGTGAAAATCGCCTCCGCGTCTCTCCACTCCTCATGTCGCTCGCTTGCCGCTCGCAGTTCTTACTTTATGAATTACTGGTTAAAAAGAAAGCGATCTGAGGCTACGAGCTTCGACCGGCTCAAAATTTGACTGGACGCTTCGTCCACACGGGACCGTTCAATGCGTCCACCCTTTCGTAAGGTGGTCCCGTGGGAACTGAACGTGGCCTGAGCCTAAGAAAAAGGTACTCGAGTTTTCAAATCCCAAAAAAACAAAAATGCGAAAATAACGAGACGCAAACAACACTTAATCCCTCAATGGAATGGCCATACCTTGGCTTTCCGGTACATCTTCAAAGACACAAAAGTTGGAACTCTGGCAGGTGTAAGTTGAATCGACCACGAGAGCGGCATATCCTCAGGGTACTAGTGTGGGGGAGCGTGAAGGGAGCTCAGGGGTGGTGAGGTGGATGGACATAGAGAAAGTTACCCCGGTTGATATTTCTTCTTTGTTTTTTCATTTATTTTTTCTTCGGGACATGTTTTTGGGCATTTTCCTTTTTTTTAAAATGTCGCTCATTTCTTTCTTGTTTTATTCCAGGGTCAAAAGGATGTGAAAGAAGTTCATTGGCATCGGCAGTTACCCGGAGTAATGATAAGCACTGCTGAGAGTGGCTTCAATATCTTCAAGACAATCAGCGTATAGTCCAGCAGTGAACTTCGCCCGGCACGGAAAGTTTTGTTTTTTCTGTGGACTGAAAAAATAGCAAAGGACATGAAAGAACACGAGAAATGTCATTCCTGCTCTTCTGATCGTGTCGAAAAGTTTCTGACAACGCCATGGATACTGAAGGAACGCCGCCGGTTTACTTCAAGCAGTGGCAAACTTCTTAGTCTGCCTGCAATCCTGCAAGCATTGATCGCCAGTGCTGTTGAAACAAGGGAATTATTCTTTATTTGGGCTCAATGGTCTGCCACGATATGGATTTTTTCTTTTTGATCCGAGAAAGCCTTGATCAGCGTACAGTTGTTGTTTCCGCGATCCTAACAGCTGGTACAGTTACGCGAGTATCAAACAACAAAATTACCGTAAACATGCACGCTTCGAACTACAGCATTTGTTGTGCGACTTGTAGATAGCGACTGGTTAAAAAGATGCGGTACGATAGAAATACAAGCTGACTTAACCTTTTAACAATTTGGAACAGATGGTCACATGGTTAAGTAGGCAGGATAAACTGGTGGAGAGCTCTTAATTGTACGATATTTTCTTAGTTCTTGATGACGCGCAGAAAATCTTTCAAATAATAAAGTCAGTGTTAAAAAAAAAAAGTTTTCTAATTATTATTAAAATCATTATTTCAGTATCCTGGTAATAATACGCAATGTAGGCTACCGAGTGGTTTTTACCCGAGCGTCATAACCAAAACCCGACACATCTGAAAAACGTAGATTCTCTAACGGCAAAAGAATAGGCGTGAGCATAGAGTCCTGTGTGAAGCGAAAAGGAACGCCGATGTACGTGCCCATTCCTAAAAAGCGAAAGCTTTGCACAGCAAAAAAAATTGATCCTAGTTCGTAACTTAGCAGGATCATAATGAGTTTGCGGGAGTTCTTTTCGACGGGGCTCCACTGTAAGGGGAAATCACCTTCTTCTGACGTCTGGATTTCATGGTGAAAGACAGCCTGCAAAACAGGCGCTATTTTTTGGCGTTTTTGGGCGAGTGAAGCACGAAGCGGGCGTGAAGCCTCATTCGGCGTGAAGCGCGAGACACGCGCCTTACCCGGCGTCGCGCGTGTCTGACGCACTCGCTTGCTTTCGCTCGCCAGAAAAACGCAAAAAAATAGAGCCTGTTCTGCAGGCTAGGTAAAAATACTCCAAAGGTGCCTATGTGATTATGATTACTGCGTCAGTCAAAATACGGTTCTTTCTTTTATTAACTACTGTAGATTGCAATTGAAGCTCAAGTGCCTGAATTCACATGATATTCCAGCATTCAAATAAAATAAACATTTAGTAATAGTCAATTACGGGAAAACTTAGATTGGCAGGTATGATATAGCTATAGCTCCTAACAGTACAAGTGCAGGCCAAACTCATTTACCGTAAAGTAACGAACACTGCACCAGTTATGTCATATAGTTTTGGATTGACGGATTTATAAAACGCAGAGTTTCCGTTACTTGCAATATGGTTTCAAGCGCTACATTTTATCTCGTTTTTAAAAAGGTAACTGTGAGACTGGCTAGGTCCTGCTTTGTTTGGTATAGCCCGCTAAAAGCTCTATTAAACCCCTAGGAGGGGGAAGGAGAGGGTGGGGTGTACTTAATTTAAAACCTTTAAATGGAGGCTAATTGCAATCCTCAAAACGTTGAATTCTGTTCTCGCCATAATAAAAAATACACCAACTTAGGATAGAGTGGATGGCTGCTGCATCGCCAAAAGAGAGTCTAATATTATAGAATCTGATTTCCCAAGGGAAGAAGAAAGGAGGACTGATTAGAGGGGTCACTGCTTATTGCAAAGAAAGAGCTGATTTGAGCGGGACTTAATCAGGAGCTTTTACAGTATATTAAAGGGAACCTCCACTTCAACAAAAAGATAACTTTAAATCACAGGAAAAAACTGTTACAGTCAAGTCAATCTAAAATATTTTTAAAGAAAGCGTTTGTATCCGAAATAAATAACTTTTAGATTCCCCTATTTTTGTTTTCAAATTTTGCAGGCGTCGCCATCTTGAATAATTGTGAAGTGTTACGGTTGCCCTATTGTTATTAAACAAAAGCTCTTTGTGTCAGAGCAATAGAGCAACCGTAACACGTCACAATTATTCAAGATGTCGGCGCCCGCGAAATTTGAAAGTGAAAATAAGCGATTTTAAAATTCACTTTTCCTGATCCTGTCAAAATACAGTTAATGTCAGTTGTTATTAATCTGAATTCTTAACTCATTCGTTTTTTTTTTAAGACGGAAGGTTTTGCTATGGATTGGTCAAGTACTGTCTGTGGAAGGTAGAAAATGCATTTACTGCTTAATAGTTTAACTTTAAAGACTTAAAAAACACAACACTTTGCTGAAAGAGTTTCTTTAATGTTTAGATCGTGAGCAGTGTCCCATATTTTTTGGACTTAAGAGCTGCAAGATGTGAGAAGCGAGGGTTACAGCTGCCTGGCAGCTTTTCCGTGTCATGCTCTCAGTCATATGCGTTACTATTTCCTTCTCTTGTGTTTTTGTTCAACGGACTGAAAAAAATGATAATATTACATTTGATAAATATGATATTAAGAATTAATTAAGTTTTACTTAGAAAAAAAAACTTGACTTTAATAAACCTTTATAAATGGGGTTCCCATAAAACCTAAAGTGCGATACATCAAAGCTTATGTGGAGCTGATACTAGATAATTTTTAAATGCTGGCATTAACTACTATTTCCTCAGTATTTTTTAAAAAAATCGTTCTTAGGGGTATAATAAAAGGGTGACACTAAAAACAACATAATAGCCATTTAATAGAACTGATCAGGCACTTGTATTAAACTCTAAAATACACTGTATCCTGACAACCAAGATGGGTTTCGTTTATTGTCTGTCTCACGACGTTTCGACCGCGTACTATCTTCATCAGGCGATAGTAGGCAGCTTAAGCAACTACGACGACGACCACAACAACTGCTCTGCACGTGCATCACGCTTTTTAGTACATTTCTCTGACGTCCACTGCACGACTACGACGTGAAACCTCCCAATGCGACGTTTTGTGGAGGATGTGGATATACGACGACAAATTGTCCTTTCTCTATTTGAACATGGATAGAATCGTTAAGAATTCAACTCCAGGAAAACTCGGCTACATTTGACGAAATATGCGGTTTCAAATACACGCGATAAATTTTGAAAGGAAGCAAATTCATTTTTTTTTCGTGCATGATGTTTCAGGTGTTTTCACTTCCGTCGTTGTCGTTGTTGTTTAAGGTCCCTAGTGACGAATTACTGAGTGGGACTATTTGTACCACCTGGTTCGAGTAGTCCTACTTAGTAAAATAAATGGACTCTATCTAGAGGAACAAGTAAAAGGAAATTAAGTAAAGTAAGAAAACTAGAAATTTGTCTTGTTTGAGATTAGATTAGCGACAGGTGATTGCAAGAGGAATATTCATCTTTGGTCGGCTGTTGAAGGTGGCAGCTGGCATGTTGATCAGAGACCATACAATTCTCATACAGACTCTGTTGAAGACATACAGTGGAGCCCTAATGAACAGAATGTAAGCAAACTATCTAGTAACAAAATTAGCGGATGGTTATGCGAAATCGTCAAAGCCTGAAAGCTTTTTACTTAATAGTACTTTCAAACTGTTGATGTTGCGTACCGTTTTTCTTTGCATTGCTGAAGGACGTTGTTATCATTACATGATTTGTTATTCCTTTAGGGGATGAAAGTCCTTTGAGTAGAGCTAGTTCTGCTGACTTTTAGTATTTCAAGTTCCTTTATTCTTCATTGTAATACTTACTCACCAGTTGAGTACATTGTGGGAGTATCCGAGGAGACATGGCTTGACAAGTCGTTCATAAGCTTTTGAAATGAAACCTTCTTTAAAAGTACTACCAAAAGATTCATAAATGGTTCGTCACGCGTTCGTTCGCTGGAAAGGAACTCTTGACGAAGCCCTAAGAACGTCTTCGTGGGCGGCTGGTGTGAAGAATACAGGTCTTATGATACAGTGATGTTAATAACTGTCAGTGTCTTATTTATCCTTAACACAGGTATTTGCGTCCTGTTCAGTGGACAAAACAATACGAATCTGGGACGCGAGAGCCAAACCCTCCAAAGCCTGCATGTTGACTACACAAGCACACGAGGCTGATGTTAATGTTATTTCTTGGAACAGGTGAGATGTGGCTCAGTTGCAATAGTATTATAAATGTTATTTAAACAAATAAAACCCCTTATGTTTCATTTTCAATCTGAATTTATTTTATACTAAAACTTTTAAGTATAGGTTGTTTTAGAGCATTCAGAGCAACAATTAGTTTTTGAATATGAAAAGCTTCATGCTAAGGTAACCTCCTTCAACAATGATGGCTTCACACTTTGCAATGGAGTTCCCAGAAACGTGAGAAAATTATTAATTGAGGTGAGAGAACGTATGTGACGCGCACTATTTAGGAAGTAATAGGAAGCTTAAGATCGGAACACGCCGTCGGTGGCGAAAACGTTGTTTCTTAGGAGAAGGAGAGGAAGAAGGAAAAAAAAAACACCTGATCGCAGAGTTGACGCTCTCGTTGCCGTCGCCGACGTCGGATTTTAAAAGTAATGCAAGTGAAGTGCTACTTTACCGTTATACTCTAGCTGTCTGCAGATGAAAACATTTAAAGTTCTGTTTTGGATTTCTATTCAGAAATGAACCATTCATAGTTTCTGGAGGCGATGATGGTGTTATAAAAGTTTGGGATCTTCGGCAGTTTCAAAGGTATGAGGATTCATCTCAAGGGTACCTGATCAGTCAACATCACAGGCACACCAACCTGATCATACAGGGTGTACCACCAGTCAGTTTAACACAGAAAGACATGTCAGTTATACTATTCCTATAATTGTAAGGATAGTATCAGAGAATGTATGTCCTTCGTTTTGTCTGTCTGCATTTGACCATCTGTTAACATAAGCGTGCCTTGCGTAATTAGCTGAAAAAAGCATGCCAGTGCAAAACGTTGGCTCTTGGTAGTTCAATATCTGACCCTGCGGTTATATAACAATTATTCGCTTAAGGCGAAGTTAATATTGTTGAATAATCTCCCAGAAGAAGTCGAGGGGATTATTCAACAATATTAACTTCGCCTGAGGTAAATAATTGTGTTAGTATATTCACACGAAGTGATCTCAACAAAATCAGAAAGGAAACCATTAAAAATATGTATGTTTGATTGATGGGTAAATTCATGCGTGAACACGAAGCCGTAAACAGTAGATGCGCAAAAGTTAGATCTTTACAGCATCTTCAAACATGGTAAATTATTTGATAGTTTTAATTTTTTTTGTGAGCTTTGCATCAATGATTGAAAAGAAAACGTCGAAATTTTAAATAACTCCCCTTTCTGAGAAAAAAAACACAGAGCTTTATTTGCTTCTGTCAACTCACCGTGAATGAGAAACTTTTTTTGTCGCTTCTTGCTGGCCTGCGTAGCAAGCGTTTCTGAGCAAAGAACGAGGAACGAGAGTTAAAGACCGCGCGGAAAATGTCGCAACTAAAAGAGCGGGGAGGGGGTGGGGAAGAAAGTTTCCTTCCTTCCCCTTCCTCCTCCCCCCTCTGTCATTTTTTGGCTCTCGTTTCATTTCTCGCGCGGTCAAAAGCGAAAATCTCCTTTCTCGGTCTTTCTTTGCTCCGAAATCAAACGGAAACGCTTGCTACGCAGGCGAGCTTCTTGCAAATGCTGTCAACAGCAGCGGCTACGATCGAGGTGAGCGTTGTTTATCTGCAGTGTTCTTTGCCATGTTAACTTGCTGGAACGTACAGTTTTCGAAAATATTTGCTTTCCTTTTCTTCCATACATTAACTTCTATTTGTTGCTAGACAAAATTGGTCTTGCGAGGAAATCCCGAGTTCGCGAAACAACTTTGGGATATTCTTGTATTGTAAAAACGTTCTTACTCTGAAACTCGGCAAAACACCCAGTTCACAACAGCGATGTTGTTTTGCTTTATATTCACCGCCTAGCGCAGTGAATATTTAACAATTATTCGGCCTCATGGGCTATTGACTCAGAGGCCATGAGGGCGAGAGGAATAGTTGTAGTAAAATCCAACTAGTTGGTCAAAAATAACGAGACAAAACAACCGCAAGCAAGACTTTAATCCTTTTTTTGCCGCCAAAAATCCGGCGCTTTTTGCTACTAGTGGAACAGGGTATATAACATTTCTCCCCCCTTTGTCTCTTTACAGTGGTGTATCTGTAGCAGTATTCAAGCACCACACAGCACCTATCACTTCAGTTGAGTGGCACCATACTGACAGCTCAGTATTTGCTGCTTCTGGATCAGATAATCAAGTTACTCTGTGGGACTTGGCAGTGGAGCAAGACAACGATACCGAAGGCAAAGGAAGACATCTGGATGTTCCTCCACAGCTGTTGTTCATCCATATGGTATGGATGTCAGCAGAGATTAGGATTTTATCTCTACCGTGGAACCTCTCCTTTAGGACTCCTCTATTCAATACAAGGGATACCTCCATTCATGGGACACAAAAATTGGTTCCCTTAAAATGTTCACCTCCATCTTTGTATTTTATTACCTCTATTGATTAGACACCTCTATTCAGGGGAAAGAGACACTTTTTCGGGGTCCCGAAACCTGGGTTTCAACACCTTAGTACTAGAAACGTGACAGACCACAAAAAAAAATAATAAAATTACTTTAAGTGAACACTAGGCTAGTCACAATTGATGGGGCATAATTTACCATATCAGCTGGTTTTACTAGACTACGAGCAGTCACTCATTTCCTCAGTGATAGTGAAGCGAGAGAAATACGGGAGGTCGCGTGAAAATCGCCTCCGCGTCTCTCCACTCCTCATGTCGCTCGCTTGCCGCTCGCAGTTCTTACTTTATGAATTACTGGTTAAAAAGAAAGCGATCTGAGGCTACGAGCTTCGACCGGCTCAAAATTTGACTGGACGCTTCGTCCACACGGGACCGTTCAATGCGTCCACCCTTTCGTAAGGTGGTCCCGTGGGAACTGAACGTGGCCTGAGCCTAAGAAAAAGGTACTCGAGTTTTCAAATCCCAAAAACAAAAATGCGAAAATAACGAGACGCAAACAACACTTAATCCCTCAATGGAATGGCCATACCTTGGCTTTCCGGTACATCTTCAAAGACACAAAAGTTGGAACTCTGGCAGGTGTAAGTTGAATCGACCACGAGAGCGGCATATCCTCAGGGTACTAGTGTGGGGGAGCGTGAAGGGAGCTCAGGGGTGGTGAGGTGGATGGACATAGAGAAAGTTACCCCGGTTGATATTTCTTCTTTTGTTTTTTCATTTATTTTTTCTTCGGGACATGTTTTTGGGCATTTTCCTCTTTTTTTAAAATGTCGCTCATTTCTTTGTTGTTTTATTCCAGGGTCAAAAGGATGTGAAAGAAGTTCATTGGCATCGGCAGTTACCCGGAGTAATGATAAGCACTGCTGAGAGTGGCTTCAATATCTTCAAGACAATCAGCGTATAGTCCAGCAGTGAACTTCGCCCGGCACGGAAAGTTTTGTTTTTTCTGTGGACTGAAAAAATAGCAAAGGACATGAAAGAACACGAGAAATGTCATTCCTGCTCTTCTGATCGTGTCGAAAAGTTTCTGACAACGCCATGGATACTGAAGGAACGCCGCCGGTTTACTTCAAGCAGTGGCAAACTTCTTAGTCTGCCTGCAATCCTGCAAGCATTGATCGCCAGTGCTGTTGAAACAAGGGAATTATTCTTTATTTGGGCTCAATGGTCTGCCACGATATGGATTTTTTCTTTTTGATCCGAGAAAGCCTTGATCAGCGTACAGTTGTTGTTTCCGCGATCCTAACAGCTGGTACAGTTACGCGAGTATCAAACAACAAAATTACCGTAAACATGTACGCTTCGAACTACAGCATTTGTTGTGCGACTTGTAGATAGCGACTGGTTAAAAAGATGCGGTACGATAGAAATACAAGCTGACTTAACCTTTTAACAATTTGGAACAGATGGTCACATGGTTAAGTAGGCAGGATAAACTGGTGGAGAGCTCTTAATTGTACGATATTTTCTTAGTTCTTGATGACGCGCAGAAAATCTTTCAAATAATAAAGTCAGTGTTAAAAAAAAAAAGTTTTCTAATTATTATTAAAATCATTATTTCAGTATCCTGGTAATAATACGCAATGTAGGCTACCGAGTGGTTTTACCCGAGCGTCATAACCAAAACCCGACACATCTGAAAAAACGTAGATTCTCTAACGGCAAAAGAATAGGCGTGAGCATAGAGTCCTGTGTGAAGCGAAAAGGAACGCCGATGTACGTGCCCATTCCTAAAAAGCGAAAGCTTTGCACAGCAAAAAAAAATTGATCCTAGTTCGTAACTTAGCAGGATCAGAATGAGTTTGCGGGAGTTCTTTTCGACGGGGCTCCACTGTAAGGGGAAATCACCTTCTTCTGACGTCTGGATTTCATGGTGAAAGACAGCCTGCAAAACAGGCGCTATTTTTGGCGTTTTTGGGCGAGTGAAGCACGAAGCGGGCGTGAAGCCTCATTCGGCGTGAAGCGCGAGACACGCGCCTTACCCGGCGTCGCGCGTGTCTGACGCACTCGCTTGCTTTCGCTCGCCAGAAAAACGCAAAAAAATAGAGCCTGTTCTGCAGGCTAGGTGAAAATACTCCAAAGGTACCTATGTGATTATGATTACTGCGTCAGTCAAAATACGGTTCTTTCTTTTATTAACTACTGTAGATTGCAATTGAAGCTCAAGTGCCTGAATTCACATGATATTCCAGCATTCAAATAAAATAAGCATTTAGTAATAGTCAATTACGGGAAAACTTAGATCGGCAGGTATGATATAGCTAGAGCTCCTAACAGTACAAGTGCAGGCCAAACTCATTTACCGTAAAGTAACGAACACTGCACCAGTTATGTCATATAGTTTTGGACTGACGGATTTATAAAACGCAGAGTTTCCGTTACTTGCAATATGGTTTCAAGCGCTACATTTTATCTCGTTTTTAAAAAGGTAACTGTGAGACTGGCTAGGTCCTGCTTTGTTTGGTATAGCCCGCTAAAAGCTCTATTAAACCCCTAGGAGGGGGAAGGAGAGGGTGGGGTGTACTTAATTTAAAACCTTTAAATGGAGGCTAATTGCAATCCTCAAAACGTTGAATTCTGTTCTCGCCATAATAAAAATACACCAACTTAGGATAGAGTGGATGGCTGCTGCATCGCCAAAAAGAGAGTCTAATATTATAGAATCTGATTTCCCAAGGGAAGAAGAAAGGAGGACTGATTAGAGGGGTCACTGCTTATTGCAAAGAAAGAGCTGATTTGAGCGGGACTTAATCAGGAGCTTTTACAGTATATTAAAGGGAACCTCCACTTCAACAAAAAGATAACTTTAAATCACAGGAAAAAACTGTTACAGTCAAGTCAATCTAAAATATTTTTAAAGAAAGCGTTTGTATCCGAAATAAATAACTTTTAGATTCCCCTATTTTTGTTTTCAAATTTTGCAGGCGTCGCCATCTTGAATAATTGTGAAGTGTTACGGTTGCCCTATTGTTATTAAACAAAAGCTCTTTGTGTCAGAGCAATAGAGCAACCGTAACACGTCACAATTATTCAAGATGTCGGCGCCCGCGAAATTTGAAAGTGAAAATAAGCGATTTTAAAATTCACTTTTCCTGATATAAACACTTTTTTTAAGGACAAATTTCGAACAAATTTGTTTATCAACATAATTTTATTCGATTTAAACTTATTCTGTAGTAAGAGTGGAGGTTCCCTTTAAAACCACAATAGCAATTATTATTCACCTTAGTGTCGGTGAAGACAGGCAGATACTCAACTCTACTTTGGCGCATACCGTAAACTACCGCTTTTAAGTACTAGACTTATACATCTTTGTAAGGGGTTTTAGGAGTGCTCACTAACGGAGGGGCTAATATCCGAAGGGGCTTACAACCCGCATAGAAAAGGTGCTTCCAAACAAGCTACAGCAGTGCTTATCAAAAGACGTTTTGTATTTACTGGTTTTTAATTAAGCTTCATAAAACCATAATAAGTCGAATTCAAGACAAGAACAGCTAGAGGAGGGCTTATACCCGGGGTAGGGTGGGGGGAAGAGATGGATCTATAACTGGGGGTCGGGGGCTTATAAGCGGTAGTTTACAGTAACTGTAAAGAGATAAATCATTCATATTTCACATCTAAAATTTCACGGTCTATAATAAAATTGTCAGAACTAAGATGACGAACAAGACGGAGATCATGATAGCCCGTAAAGGTCATATTTCAAACAGTTAGAAGTTACGGACGAGCTAAAACTGTCATTTCATAATCAGTGATTATCAACTACTTACGATTACAGATATAATAAGGACATTTAAACAAGACCAGTACATTCATCTCATATATTTCTTTTGTGCATTCCACTACTAAAACAGTTGCTGCCTACTGTAAAACCTCATTGTTTTCCAAAAATATCAGAAATATCGAAGCCACTGAAAAACATGCTTGATGTTTTTCAGTCATCCACAGAAGGATCTGGACCTTTTCACACATAAACGATTTGCTGGCTTGGCATTAATCAGCCATTTTTGCTATCACCTGCACAAGCAAGTTTAGTAACATTTTCTTTATGCGTTAGTTAAGTATTTGTATCTTCCAACATCATTTCAACCTTTGTGCACAGATTACTTTGCTAAATTTAACCACTCATCAACTGCTGAGAGAGGCCAACATTTTTTGTCCTTACATTGTCTTGTACGTTTGGCATAGGGGTAATAAGCTACAACGTTCTCCAATCTTCCATAATAAATGTACAGCTGCAGATCAGTGATGGGTCATGCAGTTGTCACTTCTTTTTACATTTACAAGACTTAGATTACAGTGCATTTTTCTTGAAACCTATAAGTGGTGTACTTCCATCTTGGGCATTTTATATTTCTGTTGGAAAAATGTAGTTGAATCTTGCTGTATACTACACAATTCCTACTGCAGATTATAACATTAGAGTTGAAATATGTACCCTAGAAATTTTATGATCCCCCTCCTCCTCCTCCACAGCAACCTCCTCCTCCACTCTGTCGCTGGGGTTGTTCATCAACTATTACAACGTTTTTTCGTCTACCTGCTCCTCTGTCGGCTGTACTATCTCTTGGACTTTTAGCTTCACTTTTTTCTTGCCTTTCTAGCATTTCTAAAAAAAAGATGGAAGGGTTACGTACTTGATGTAACCAAGGTCCCAAATGTCTGCTGAAAAGCTGTGTATGGTAGAACCTGTTTCTTAAACAAATAAATGAATGACTGAGCCGAAAGCTACTTGTATTATTGACATTTTTTCACGTTCAATTTCAGCTTACTTTTTGTTAGTTCAAAGAACATTTCTTCAATGCCTTTGTTAAGTTTTGCTGAAGTGTGAAAGTGTTTTGCTCCCACAGTTTTGGCATATCTGGAAAAAGAACAACAAATTCACATTATGTTTTGACCTCACACGTAGTTTGATCATCAGTTTCCTTCATCTCCTTACCCTAACTAAATAGAAGTCAAGGAAATTTGAGAATCAAACAGTTACTTGGTTGAAACCATTGAACCTTCATTGCACTTTGAACTATAGCATTTATCTACAAACCTGAGTCCACATATTTCTTACTGTACATGTCGTTGGACTTCATTCTAGGAAACTTTTTCACGGAAAAGGGTCCCCAGTAAGGTTCTTTAACCCTGTCATCCCTACCCAAATTTTTGCTCAATCCCATAATCCCAAAGGCTATTTTTGACATTCCAGTCATGCGCATACTTTCAATCCCAATGGCAACTCAGTTGTTTACTTATCAGATATCAACAACTTAATTAACCCTTTAGTAATTATCCACCTATCAATGCAACTCTGAATTCCAACCCCTACAAACCTCCTAGTGTACACCTACTGTGAGTTAAAACTCTTTAATAATTCATGGCAAGCAATGAAAGGAAATCACTACTACAAAGGAGCACTTACGCTTCTGCCTCTGCTGCATCAACATGTCTGTCCCTTTCAAGATCTATTTTGTTTCCTGTTTGAACGATAGTAATTTATTATTATCATTAATTTTAAATGTAGAGGCCAAAGGAAAGCAATCCAAATCAACCACACCTGCTATACAAAGTGCTATATCTTCGCCTAACATTTTCTTAAGTTCCTTGACCCAGTTCTGCACCTAACAAAAGTTAACAATCATGGTTATAAAGGGCACTTTCCATTTGCCAAGAAATTCTGGAAGTTCTAGTTGGAATGTAAATGAAATACATTTTTCTGGTATTCCACTGGACAATTTCCAGGAAATGCATGTTCCATAAATGAGTTTTCACTATGAATCACCAGAAACAGTTCCAGGTTATTCACAAAGATATCTGTGCTGTCACCTTGATTTTTGGCCAGAGGTCGACAAATAATGTGTAATATCGAACATGTTCTACAACCAATGGACCTTTCCCTCTACATTGTAAGTTTCCAAAAGTTTGTAGTTAATGGGAAACACCCAATGTGATTGGTAATAAAATATAAACACCAGAAAAAAAATAAACCAATTACAACTTACAGTCCAATGGATGTTCTTTTAATGGCAATCTTTCAACTTTAAAAGAACTGATTGAGAAATGATTGTCGCAGTGGTGATTGCAATTTAAGCAATTGCAAATTAACCCCAAAAATTTTGGGGGGACTTGAATGGGATTTGAACCCATGGCCTCTGTGTTAGCGCTGCAGTGCTCTACCAACTGAACTATGAGGACCCATATGTTAGGAGTAGGCCAAGGGAATAGTGTACATTACTTACATGTTTAATGTTTAACTTTGAATTAATTTTGTTCTAAACTTTCCTTTGATCAGTTTTGCCATTGCTGTATAATTGCCGTTTGCATGAAAGAGTCAGAATGTAACAATACCTTGAAAAATGAATCTTCATCGGTTATATCATAAACTAGAATTGCACCATTGCTGCAAAATAAAATACAATACTCCAAATTATAAATTCTCAAACTCACTAAAACTAAGAGAAAACAATGAAACTCATAGGCTGGAACAAAACTCAGTCTTGCAGTACATGTGGATGACACAAGAGGTAATTGAAGTTGTTTTTGCTTTTCTGGGAATCAATTCCAATCAAGGAGCAAAGCAGAGCATGAATTATCATTTGAAGTTAAAGGTGTTTAACTCTAAGGGTGTATTAGCACAGCCTTTTTTATCTTTGTCTTGCACATGTTAGGCATTTGTCTATGACTGTTAAAATTGACAAAACTTCAAGAAGTGGTTCTTCTGGATAAAGCTGATTCGTAAGCTACGTGCACAATATTATTATTTAAATTCTGATTTCTCAAACCCCCAGTTTAAAAAACCTTCCCAATAATTTGAACCAAAACCCCAGTCAAACCTTGTAATTTTACTCACAATTTTTGAACTAATTCCTTTCCAATGGCCTGGAGGTTAAAAATTGAAAATTATCCCACTGTAGCAGTTGATATTCTTCATACATGTGTAAAGATGAGGTAACATTAGTTGCTTACCTATCTCTATAGTAAATAGGTCCTAACGCATGGAATCTCTCCTGGCCAGCTGTATCCTAAACATGTGATAACATTCAAGTATTAATACTGTACTCTGTTTTATGTAAATCCTCTACTGCTTGCTGAGAGTAATACAGTGACATTCAGTGGGAGGGGGAAAGGATCAGTTTGTAGTGAGAACAAATGGGTGCTGCCTCAAAACAATGCCCTTCAATAATATTTTACCTATTGAGGGTGGCTAGGAACATTACAAAGGTAAGTTTCTTGTTTATTCAGGTACGATACAAATGCACCACAGAAACCAGGGCTTGGTCTGTTTTCCCTTAGTTCTGAGGCCCACTACATAATCCATAATCACATGTCAACTGCTTTCTGAGAGTAATAATGCACTCATTGATGCAAGTTTGTATTGCACCTGAGAACAAGAAAAGTACTACTCTAATTAGTTCCTATTGTTTGGATCATCTCTTTTAATATTACTGATAAACACCGAATGGCTGCCACGCTACACAACTCGGTAGATTTACTTTGTGGCACAACGGCCGCCGAGCTACTACACAACTCAGTAGATTTACTTTGTGTGACCCTGAATGGCCGCCGAGCTACACAACTTGATAGATTTACTTTGTGTGGCACAACAGCAGCCGAGCTACACAACTTGGTAAATTTACTTCGTGGCACTACGGCCATCGAACTACTACACAACTCGGTAGGTTTACTTTGTGGCACAACAGCCACCGAGCTAAACAACCCGGTTTCATTGATGCATGCACCAGGAATCACACACATTTTCCAAAGGCTTAATCCAAAGTACAATTTTACTCAGGGTGTTGAACGCTTTGGAAGACTCAACAAACGCAGATTCAGCAAACTCATGAGATATGTACGCTTTATGAAGACAAATAGCAGACCTCAGCAAACGTTTGGAAGATGAACGCAGAGGACACACAAATCACCATGTGAGTTGGCGCGTCAAAGTGAGGCAAAATGTAAGCAATCACCTCGAAGTGAGGCAAAATTAATGTGTGTCGACGGCAAATGCAATCTCGAATAAACCTCCCTCATTAATTGCACAGGACATCCAATAATGCACAGAACGCCCAACACAAATTAGGGGTTGCGTTCTTGTACCTCGAACACAATAACCAAAGGTTAGGGAAAGTTGAGAGATTAGGGTTGCAGGCTCCTTTGATCGATAGATAGTACCAGAGATAACAAATCAATGACATCAATAATATCGATGAGTAATCAACCAGGGCTGAAAACTTCTCGCCAATACAAATCAACTTCTTTGCTGAAAATATTAGCAACGATTCTTCTTTGAGGAGGTGACTTTCAATCTTGTGCCAGGCAAGGAAAAAGATCAAGTTTCCCCGATGTTCATTTCGAAGCGCGTGCAGATTTTGTAAAATAACCCAATTTTTTTTCTTTTTTTTTCGTAATTTCTAAAGTTTGCTGAACTGTATGTGTATTCTGTTTCCTGAACCTTGAGAGTTTGAAAAGGATTTACACTTCACTTTTTACCTCTAGAGACTTCAGACACCGCCATGCAATGATACTCAAGGTAGAACGTAACATTAAACCTAGCCTGCGTAGCTGGCGGTATTGTGTAGTAGTCGAGTGAGATTTGGCAGAGGAGCCGTTGTAATATAGTCAAGTGATATTTGACGGCGGAGCCGTCACGAGTGGCGAAGCGAAGCCACGAGAAATATCACCGGTATTTCAACCGCCTCTTCCCTACTCCCTTTTTTTGGAACGCGGCTCCGCCCCCAAAAATCTAATCTCACACCCCCACAATACCGCCAACTACACAGGCTACATTAATAACGTGCAAAAACCATGGAAAGGAACTCTACAACGTGCGAATGCATTTTTCACCAACTTGCTATCAAAAATGTGAACATCAATGTAGTAATAACGATCAATTGCGAGCATAATTGGATATTCCTTGGGCAAAATAAAAATATTAGTATTCATTATATGACCGGCCAGAATCAGGCTAAAAAATATCTGGCCAGTCATCATGACCAGCAACCTGCTGTCCGTTATTTTCAGCCCTGATCAACAGGAAATCAATGGGTGATCAGCTGATTAGTCATTGATTATTGCAGATGATAAATGTTGAGCAATCAATGAATAACTGTCAGGCTGCAAAATTTAAATCATAGATTGCATCAATGAGTCACTGATGACATCAGTTAGACATTGATATACATGTGTAAACTAATGGCTATACAAATCATACTAAATTCAAAATAAAGAAATTCAAAAAAACTTTAAAGTACAGCTGTACATGTCACAATACAAACTAAATATGTATCAAGCATGTATAAACCAAATGGGACATACTTCGACCCCCACATCAAATTAACCCATTACACATTTACTACAGATTGGAACAACTGCATTAGACAGAAACGTTTTTCCCTGACAGAGAAGGGACTGGGCTAAATTTAGGTGTATAATTATTTTTTTCTGACTCCAAATAGCCAGGAGTGTCACCTTCTCAACATTGGTTTCGACATTTTGCCATCCATCAAATCAAAGTTTAATGCGTTGCTTAGTAATATGTGACAAATTAATGATTAATTAACTGGCTAATAAATGGTATTATTGGTAATAACTGACTAATAAATGGTATCAATGACTTCCATGAGTAATGAATGTCACAGATGGGTTATAGGATAGGATATGGTTAGAGGGTTTTTGGTAATTGTCTAACCATTGATTACCCATAGATCAATGACAATGATCAATGATTAATAATACTCAATGATGCAATCAAGCATCAATTAGCTATATCTAGCAAATACCATTACCTAATATCATAGGTGATGAATTACTCCTTAATTTTGGTGCGAAATTTCAGCGTTAATTTGTATTTCACATGTGAAATTACGAAATTGCCATGGCAACCTTCCATATATCTCAGTGTCAAGATGGCGACAGTTTTAAAATGCCATGAATGAAGATGCAAGCACAAAAAGACGCTTTCGAAAACCTGAACACACAAGAGAACATCAAGAAGGATTCTAACAGGTATTTTGCCGAAAAAGTCTGAAAAATTCTGAACTTTATAAGCCAAATTTATGGTCTAAACATTTGACAGAGTGGAGTTCTCGATCGATACAATCCAGGATAAACATGTCAAAAATCCAAGATTGCTAACGTAATTCGTCACCCATGATATTAATAGGTAATCAACTGGTATACTAATGAAATTAGGGAATAATTTCACTTACGTTTTGTCCAAATCCTAATAATTGGACAAAACGCACGTGAAATTATTCCCTAATTTCACTCGTCACCATTTGATTACACATACTTATACTACTACATGAGAAATTTCTGCAATTTGATTGGCTTAGAGGAGTGGTATTTCAGCTTAATTTGAAATACCTACATGTGAAAATTACAAACCTTTTGCAGGTAGTAGTATAAACATGATTTGTACGTGATATTTGGCATAAATACCACTCGTGTTATTTCAAAATTGTGTCAAATTTTACTCGCCTAACGGCTCGTGAAATTACGTATAACAATTTTGAAATATCACTCGTGGTATTTATGCCAAATATGACTACTAATCATGCTATTACCTATACAGGAAAAAATTTTCAAACTAGCCACTCTCATTGGCCCAGACATACCATGACCTAAGAACTGAAACTATCTAACAGCTAAATATTTTCTTTTAAAAAAAATAATAACTATTTTTTTCAAATTCTGGTCGGGTATTTTGGACAACTTGGTTTGCACTGGAGTGACTACTGGAACTCTCAGCCTATGCATAAAAATCATAAACTCATTCAGAGAATTGAACTCCCTCTAATTTTTCTTGAAACACAGCCTTGAAATAAACTTACCCATATGGCAATGTTCACACGTTGTCCTTCAATATTTAATCTTTTATTTAAGAAAGATGCCTGAAGAAAAAACACAAAAGATTTACTTTATCATCAATGTAAGTACACATACACGAAAGACAAAAGAAGCATGAAAACATGTTTATCACATGAGCCTGTACAATGGCCAAGTAGTCTCCTATAGCTCAGTGGTAGACTATCTGGACTAATAATGGCCCCAGTTGTTCAGCAGATAATGCTATTCACTGGATAAATCTCTATCCATTGGACAATGCAATAATGACTTCCAGAGATTTATCTGTTGGATTTATCTAACATTAGTGTCGTAGTTCCTTTCACTAGACTTTAAAATAAGTGTAATAAAATAAGACAACAAACAGATGGCGTAATGGGGGGAACACCGCTCCGCGATCGGCGTGGTGGACGACTTCCATAGTGTGACCATAAAGCCTTACTTATCTCCCCGGCGCTAATTTACACGCCCCGGATCGGACAAGTTCAGGTAGGTCCGAAAGAAAGAAACTTAATACGGCCTAACAGTCCACGGCACTACGAGCTGAAACCTCTGGCCAGCATCGTGCAACTTAATGGAACGGAGTAGGCAAATATTTTGTTCTAGGAACTTTATCTTATCAGCACTACGAGCCGACTCCGCCGGCACGTGCTGGAATACAATCAAATATAAAAGTTTGCATTAAAATCAAAGCTTGGGGAAGTTGCCGTGAGACTTAAACCGAAAGCGAAAGAAAGCGGTGAGCCCGTGTTTATTAGGAACAACAACCAAGCCTCCAAAGGGAGGGAAGGGTGGGAATTACAAAACTTTAGGACGGTTGAAGTAACCAACTTCGCAATACAGCTCGGAATGAGGCACAGGACTTTTACTAGGCCTTTTATAGTCCGAGTGCTATCACAAGGTAAGCCAATGAAAAATACTGTACTACAGAACAGAACGTGCACCTAAAGTGCTCCACAAGATATGCATGAGGAAAATTATTTTTACTAGCCATACAAAACGAGCGATACATCAGAAACTAGCCTCAACTGCAACAAAAAACAAGGATCGCTATTGTATCAGTAGTTTCCCAGTTATAGCCGTGATTTTACGTACTACCTAGTAGTTTTACCCACCACGAGTAAACTTCTACGAGATTTGATAAGGGCTATAGCATAACACTGCGTTACATGTTGTTGATTGAGGGCATCACGCTCCATTAACTGCGTTTTACAATTGAGTTGTAAAACTTTCTTTAAACAACCAGGGCAACAAGGACAAAGGTTTGACTCCATTGGGGGAAACTTTTTTCTTCCTAAGCTATCAAAAAAATCATCACTCTAAACATTTTTAAGAAATGGAAGACAACTTTCAGTTTAAAACAAGACATGTTTCGATCGTTCAACGATCATCTTCAGTTGTGAATTCGTTTGCAAGTTCGGTTGAATTAATACAAGCAATGACGTATAAGTTAAAACGTGATACAATTCAAAATTTCGGAAAATTAACGTACAATTTTAAGATGCACAAGACATGGAATAACACTTGCGTGAGCACTACACTTAATACAAGGAAGAAAATTGTAAAAAATTGAAATAATTACAATGGTTATAACACAAAAATTAATGTTATGAGAACAAAAATATATATACATATATATAAAATAAACTTAAAGAATAATACCAGAACGAGAGAGTTAAGTCAGCATGTTTCAGCTGCTTATTTAAAGTGGGATTCTCCCATTTGATGTGCATTGCCTCCTTCAACATAAGTTGTAGTTTGTTGGGTGCACAATCCATGATGGAAAAGCAGTTCTTATTAGCTAAACAACGACATGCCTGGGATTGCTGCAAAATCCAACATCTGTTTATGTCTTGCCACCCAATGTGTTAGATTAACTTTCACACAACTGGCACAGTAACAATAACAATGTGATCAATTCCTCCACGACTAATCATAACCTCCATTTGAAGCTAACCACCACCTGGTTAGCTCAGTTGGGAGAGCACTGGGTCTGCTGAGCAGGAGGTTGCGAGTGCAAACCCTGGCCAGACCAGCACTCAGGGCCTTTAAATACAATCGTAACAGAGAAGAAAATGCTGCCTTTGTAATGACATCTGCAAACCAAGGCTGCTGCCTAATGAGTGGCCGGTCACCAGAGGTGACTATGATTTGCCCATAGGTGACCAAAATTTTAAACAAGGAGCTCGACAAGGGCACCTAAAACGTATGATTCTCAGGCTAGCTCTTGGTGAATAAACGTCAAAATTCCCCGCTCATTCTGCAGTGTTGAAATGAAAACGGAAAATGTTTGGTTGTTGGCTGTAGACAAAAAAAATTTCTGCCGGTAAAAGGTAAACAAACAAGCACTTGTCTTGAAATTAATTTGCTTCTGTGAATTCCACTGCAGTGCAGTTGAAGATTCTTGTCTGAAAATGGCCTTGAATGAATTTCATAGTCTTAGAAAAACCTTCAGTATTGATATCATGAATTTTTCTCCAGCGTTAGAAATGTTTGGTCACTATTGTGTGTAGTAAAAACCAATAAAAAATCATGATGTGTAAAAAGCAAGAGGTTTCCAACTACACATGTCATACACTAAGGAAATTTTACTTTTGCAAGTTTGTAGTATTTTCTATCTTGCTACAAACATGAGCGGTACATTTGGAGTTTTCTTTTATCATTTATTCAGCATTATCTACACCTCCCTTTTCTTTTTGCTGTACGTTTTGTGGTATTTTTTGAAAGGCTCGCAAAAACATTACACTTTTTGAAAATGATTCATGGTGGCTATTCAAGATCATATTCCAATGTCTTTATAATTTATGTTGTCGTGCGCTATGCATGTAAATACATACCTTCACAAAATAATATAAAAACAGTTGTGATAGTTCAAAACATAGACTCAAAACACAAATGCTGAGTCAATTTCCAAACTTCAAGATAAAAAACCTCTCATTGGTCCTTTTTTATCACCTAAAAACTTAAACTTAACTCGCTTAAATAAAATTATTGTACAAGCAAGTGCTGTTGGTCAGTGGGTTCGCTAGTGTATGTGCAAATGGTTATCGTTATTTTTCTCAAGAAATAAATGATTTCTTCAAATCCTTTCAAGCGAGACAAAAACAGCAACAAGGGAGACTTAGGTTTTGAGAAGCATGAATCAAGTTTCGAGGAACTGGTTGAGACTGTCAACTTAAGGTGGCTCGACCAAGTATTTTTATAGGCACACCCTCCATCTTGGAATCTCTTATACTGAAACAATTATTGATCTGTATTGTAAAACGATTATGACACATTGATTACACTTAGACTAAACTTTATTATGGTATTATTTTTTGGGTGATCGGAATAAATGTCACGTGGCAATGACGTCACAATGGTTTTAGCTCTAAATCGAATTTCAGCCATGTTTGGCATTTTCTTTTGAAATGCTTTATGCTATGTAATCTTTGGAAAAATGTCTTCTGCTGTGCGAAGTTTGCCAAAAATCTATAGGATGAATTTTGAGATATCTTGGAATTTCTATAAAAAGGGTATTAACAATGCATGCACTGACTACTGGACTTGATGCAGACAAATTTGCTACTTTTTGGATGTTTCTGAAAGGTTTTATCACTCATCTGTTTTGCAAATGACCCTTACACACTCCAGAAGCTGCTGAACACAAGTACACTTGCACAATTTTGAAACACATGAAAACGTATAAATCAGGGTAAAAAGCAATGCTGAGCTCTTTTTACAATTTCTATGGCTACTTTCATAAAAACAGTGACTAAAACAAAATTTGACAATAGTACATTAATTGATCAGTGTACTATTTAGTTCCCGAATTTCGTGTCGATTGAAAACTTCTAAAGTTGCCTAACCTGGGCACAAAAGTGAGTAAATATTGAAGCAATGTCATATATCTGGCTACGTTTTTACTCTGGGACTTCCTATTGTCTCAAGTTTAGCACAACACCAAATTCCCATGTAGCACGCGAGAATTTGCCGCACTTGGTTGCCCCCCGAAATCTTCCCGAAATATGGTAATGATGTAGAATGGTAGAAAACAATAGCGACTAGATTTCAGAGGGCAACCAAACGCGGTAAATTCTCGCATGCTGCATGGGAATTTGATGTAGTGCTAAACCCGAGACAATAGGAAGTCCCAGAGGAAAAACAGCAGCCTTGCAAACAGTTAGACTTTCTAGTCCTCTTTGATAAGGACAAAAACCATGGGTTCACAGCACTTCACTTATCTGGTTCTTGTGAGATATAAAGGAACCCACACCACTGTTTAAAAAGAGTAGGAGATATAGACCCTGGCGGTGTGACTAACCTTTCCTGGGCTGGGTGGGTTATCTGTAAGGAGAGATCTTAATATAGGGATAACCTCATGATCCTCCTTCAGGTGTTATAATGAATACCTGTAAACAGTGTATGTAATATAATTCTACTAGCAAATTGGCAATGTAATACCAGCTTGGATTTCTGCACTGGAATCATGTCAGTCCTATATTCTAGAATACGGTGTAACTCAATAATATTCAATATAAAACTTTCTAGGCACATGTCCATTTCATGGATCTGTACAGCTCAAGTTGATTGTTGACGAGAGATCTACTTTTTTACACAAAATTTGGCTAACTGCGAACAGATATCACGACAACAGTATACTTGAAATTTGATGATTCAGCTTTACCTAGCGGAAAATCGTTCGTCCACAAAAACACATGCAAGCTCTCAGGAGCCAGCCATGCTTTTAAGTTTTATTGTATGTATTATCAAGATCACGATAAAGCGTCCTTACCGTGTAACGAAGCCTACGTATAGCTAATAAAAAATGACAACAAACTTACTTGCAGTGTGGTTAAATGTTTTTCGTTGAACTTGTCTTGGACATAGCGAAGCATTAAGGAAGTTTTACCAACGCACCCTTCCCCTAAAAGAACAACTTTAAACTGGTTTTTCCGCGACGCTGCTGCCATAATGAAGGAACACTTTGCTTTTAAAAGCTGTGCTTCCCACTGCAACACCCGAAATAGAAGAATTTGTGGATATACTAAGGGGATTTCACTTTAGATCCGGACGCCATTTTCAGTCTTGCAACAGTTCCATCCTCGTGACATTGACGTCAACTTGTCGCTACTTACGGAAGTGTTCCCGGAGAACTTCGGACAAAATTCGTAAGAGTTCCGCCACATCAACACTATCACGACGCATAAACGAAGTACTGACCACTTGTCTTTTCCCTTGGTTATTGCAGGCTCAACAAAGCTGCATACTTCAAATTGTGTTCACATGTGCTCGTGAACAAATTTGCTCTAAAAATGGTAATTTTCTCTTTTCTAGTACCTAAAACTGGTATAGAATTGAACTACTATCATCTATTAGATATGTAATATATATTTTTTTCTATCGATCAGGTTTCATTGAACCCAGTGCAGATTCTAAACCAGGGTGCAGAAGAGGAGAGAGCTGAAACAGCTCGTCTTGTAAGTTGCAAAAATATTTAGAAAATTCTTGTTTTAATTCTTTTCTTGGTGTTAATAGGTTGCTGCAAAAGTTTTTTTCTATGATTTTTGTTATACTCAATTTAATTCTTCAGGTCAGCGATTGCAGCAAATTTTCTGTAGTGACGACATTTAAGTACATCGATCGGATTTCACCTTTGTCACACCCATCAGTCTTTATTATCTGAAGTTTTATAAAAACGCTTCAAAAACTCTCTATAAATTTAATAGTCAGAAGTAAACTTCTTACGGATTCTAAGTATGAATTCTGTCTGGATCATGTAAGATGAATAAATTATAGTCAGTATATTTTTATTTATTTACCTGTTGCATTTTCATTTTTGTCTTTCAGTCATCTTTTGTTGGTGCTATTGCTATAGGAGATCTTATAAAAAGCACTCTTGGTCCCAAGGGAATGGTAATTAAAAATTTTACATTTTAATTCGAAGAGTTTTGCATACATTTTTGTATGCAAACAGTTTTTTTCTTAGTTCATTTGGCCATTAATGTTGTGCAGTTAAGTTTCTTCTTGTGTAATATGCCATTCCAAACGCCCTCACTCTTAAAATGACACTAAGGGAAATTTCTGTCCTGTGAAAAAGGATGTAATTTGCATGAGTATAAGATACTGATTTTATATCAAAGACTTCACTCTCAGCCTCATTTTGAATAAGATGCTAGAGGCAACTTGGAAATGGGCCATTGAATGGTTGGCGTGTGTTTCGGCATGGTGTTGCTATTTCCTTAAAATGCTCGTAGTAACACCAAAATGCCATAGTGGAACCCTTGCACAATGTTTGGAACTAGCTTGCCTTCACTAAATCTAAATGTTAGTGTAAATCATAATCATTTAAGTGCTTAATGTAAGTCACTAGGCTAAGAAAACTGCTGACATTCTGCGATGCCACCACTTGTTTTCTCACGAAATGGCAATTGAGGAAGAGTGCAGAAATTCCTTTCTGATGACATACCACTACCCAGTTCTGGGTGGTGCTTCAACCAATCAGAAGTACCACCCAGATCATCAGTATAAAATTTCTGTGCTTGTTTCTCTGACGTCATTTCATGGGGAAACCAGTGATGGGTGTCCCAAAAAGTTGGCTACTTTCTCAGGTTAGTAAGCCGCATATGCAGGGTTTTCTTGCTCTTTGTACTTAACGCTGTACATTGCAAGTACATATATATATTCACTTTGATCAGTATGAAAAATGTGCACAAAAAATGTTTACAGTATATTATATTTCAGTGGAAGTATATTTCTGTTGTGGATGTTGCTTTTGTAGGACAAAATTCTCCAGTCTTTTAGCAAGAATGAAGAAATTCAAGTCACGAATGATGGAGCAACAATTCTAAAATCTATTGGAGTGGACAATCCAGCTGCAAAAATTCTTGTTGGTAAGTGATTACTCAGTAATCTGCTTACCGAAAGTACCAAAATGCATTTCCTCTAAATACAAAACATAGTTTGGTAAAATCTTCTTTTAATTTATTTACATACGTGGTCATTATGATGTTAGGAACTAGTTGTATTTAGCAGACTAAGATTATGACATATATTCCAATCTTATCAAAACCTGCATGACCTTTGTGATGCAGGGTGTATGGGTTATGCATGTGGGCATTACAAAGGGACTTAGTGTTGTTCTCCAATAATATTATTATCAGGGCTTGGATTTAAGGTTACTGGATACATTGAGATTAGAAGTTTTGTTTACATTTTGATTGTTATCTTCAAAAATAATAAAGTTCTGAGTATTGATCTGTCTTCTGAAGAAAAATGTTTTGACTGCATGATGTTAATTTCCAGACTCTAAATCTCAACCCAATTATTTCGTATTATCTCTCGGACATACACGCAAACTGATACCCCCACCATGGTACAGTAAACACCTGCATATAAGAACAAATGGATTAAGAACACCAGGCTGAAATTTGGCCAATAAAGCCCCATTTTTATAAGAACAAGATCAGCCTGAAAATTGTAACATGTTCTTATAAAATGGAAAAAGTGTCATAATTACAAAACATGTAAGTTTATGTTTGCTGTCAGATAACTTCATTTGTTAATATAATCAAATTACAGAATAATTATTTATTTTATTTTCCTAAAATATGTTAAATATACCTCTAGCAACATGTTTTGGATAATATTACTAAATAAAAATTTAAGAACATTTTAAGAACATTTTGAGGCTGATTTGTCGTTAAGCACCTGATAAATAAGAACTCAATCAGCCTGACCTCCGAAATCGTGTGTTCGTATATGCGGGTGTTACTGTATTTCAAAACAATTTTACCTTTAGTGGAAAGCCTTTGATCTGGTTAACAAGATGAGGTATATTTTATGGGTGGTGGCACTGCTGAAGGCCTGTGACCAAAAATGGTTGCCATCTTGGCTGCCATCTTAGATTTTACCAAGAATTTGAAATCAGGTTAAAACCGTGAGAAATGGTAATTTTTTGTGCTTTACATGAAAAATTACTCATAAATAAGCACTTTGCATGATTTTAGCAACAAGATTTAATTTTATTGTTGAAAGAAGTTGAAAAAACGTGTATTTTCACACAAAAAATAATGTCTTGACCTCCTGCTACTTATGACATCAGATCTCGTAACCATAGCTACTGACCATCACTAACAAAACAAACAAAATGTTGTTAATACCAGAACGTGGTTTTTTTATTGCTAGTTTTTTTTTTATATTGATGTTTTTTCTCTCTGTTTTGTTGCCCAAAGAGCTGTCGAAAGTGCAAGATAATGAAGTTGGTGATGGTACAACAAGTGTCACAGTCTTGGCTTGTGAATTACTCAGGGTATTATTATCAGTAACTGATTATTTTTATACCCTTACCATCTTGGACAAAAATGTTTAGAAAAATGGACGTTATCATGTCCAGTTTTAAGGAAAGCTCTTGAAAGCATTGTCGACTACAAATACTCCCGCTCCCCACCCCCTCCAAAAAAAAATGTTGAATTTCAGCTGGATCATTTCTGATCCTGACTCGACAACTTTGACCAGGGTGGGGCCAGGGGAGGGGCCATAGCAGTACCAATTCTGTGGATAGGTGTTCTGTGGGTAAGAAAGTACAAAATTCTTAACACTTTTTGTCCAAGGTTGTAGCTAGAACCAAATAAACTTTGCTTCTGGAATGTGGAATTCTGAATGAGTAACTCGGGCATTTCAGTAAAAAGGTAAGTTGAGACTCCCCTAGGTGACCATGCACCCAAAATACATGTACAGTGTACAAAGAAAGTAGTGTCCGATAGCCCAGGGCTAGTGGATTTTGCTATTGGGCTAGTGAATTCTGTTCTTAACTTGCTCAACAGGCAAGTGAAGTATTTTGAGGAATTCAACTTACAGAAGAAGTGTGAAGTCAATTCTGCCCATCAAAAAATTTGGGGGCTAGTTGAAATGACGTTTGGGCACGTAAATGGTAGCTTCAGCTTGCCCGACTGGCAGGCTGTAAAAATGACTTTCTTTGCGCCCTGATATACCGTGATCTTTGATGACCCCCATTGAACCTCTTCACAATTTATGGCCAACTTGGACAGAAGAATCCTGTAAAAGAAGAATGGATGTACAGTGGAACCTCTCCTTGGGGACACCTCCATCTTTGTATTTTATTACCTCTATTGAAGTGACACCTCTATTCAGCTGGGAAAAGAGACACTTTTTCTTGGTCCCAAAACCTGGGTTAAACCTCCATTCAAGGGATACCTTAGCAGACCACAAAAATCTTTGAATAGTTTAAGTGTTCACTGGTCAAACTGGCGACAGGTTTTAAAACATGAACTATTTCACTTAAAAATCGATGTACTGCACTTGTAGGAATTCCAGTGCTGGAAATTACTGTAGGACATCGGACATTGTCCGACCAAAATGCTGTACATGTAAATGTCCGACTAATATTGTAATATGTTTAGACATGATGCCCTAGCAGTTAATTGACTTAGCTGTTGTCTTAGAAGGTTTTTTTACATCCCTGAGTTTATTTCGAAAACATTAAAAGGTAAAACGCTATGATAAAAAAATAAACTTTGCATTCCAGTGAAAGACTCTCTATTTTGAGGAAACTCGAAAGTGTCTACACGCATTGTAACAACTTGTCTTCCACTCTCTTTGTTAGGGAATTACTGGGCTCTACTGTCCGTGTATGGAAATCTAATTTATGCAACTGAAAACACATGCTTTGGAACTAAAAGTAAGAGTGATGTAGCAAAACACAAAAAGCATTCCCCAAACATCAATTAAATTTGAACAACATTTCAAACCAATATTTCATTTCCCTGAATTACGCCAGCTTCCAGCATCTGAACAAAAAGTTCATTCAAGCCAAATGGCAGGAAGCGGTCATTTGCATTAAATACTGGTTTCTTTTTTAAACCTTGAGATTTTTGCAAATTGTGTCTAGAATCATGAGAATTTCGAGGGAAAGATTATTTCTTTTAAAAAAATAACAAAGTCGCCAATGTGAACAACAGGTTCTTGAAAGCGATTACCCAGAATCATTGCTTGTGTTTTCTTGGCATGTAACATCAAGAGATTTGAGGCAAACCAGGCTGAAAGCATGACTGTATTTACTCAAATTAGCGTGGCCCTTGAATAAGTGCCACCAAGAGTCATGCCCTGTTATAATGAAAATCAAAAGATGTTAATTCTGGTTGATTAATACTTGATTAATATTGCAAATAACAATGTCATAGTAAAAACAATTCTTTATCATGTCCAACTTTGAAATAACTGCCATGAGTGCCGCAGCACTTATTCGAGTAAACACTATACATGTATGCTAATTAATGTCTGACCAATTTTCGAATACATGTATGTCCTTTCAAAATGAAGGTTTGAAAGGACACATGTCCTTTCAAGTAAGAACAAGATGCACAAGTGCGTGAACCTGGCCTTCTTTTAGTTCATAAAATGATAGGGTGCCAGGGAAAAATGTGCAATATGCAGTGATGCACTACAACCCATATGAACTTTGATGATGAATTGATAATGAGTGAATGGAAAGGAAATACTATTGGCTAGCAAATCAGACTGGAAATTAGACTCGAACGTTCCAAAGGGGTGTACTTGACCATGACTGCATAATGCTTCAAAGTAGTGTTGCAGCTAGTTTTCTCTTTTTCTTTTTTCTTCAGTCACAATCTTAAGTAGTAAACTAATATTTTGTGGGAAAAATCTTTGAAATAACACCCTATTTGAAAAGAAAGAGAACATAATGGTTGGAATAATTATGCCAGGATTTTAAATTCATTCTGGTTGCTGAAGTGTTTATTGTACAAGCTAAAATTACTACAAAGCAGTAAAACAAAATACCCTTGTGTATCTCGTTGAGGATAATCCCGAAACCAACTTAAAAGACAGAATTATATTGTAATCGATTTGTCGATCTTTTTAATTACAAGTTTGAATGTACAGTAGCTGAACACAGTGAAGAGAAAAATTTCTAGCATAGATAATTTTGACATTTCTAGTAATGTTGGATCAATCAAAATGGAGTTTTGCTAGATCGAAATTTGCCCATTTTTTAAAAAGCTATAAGCTTATATGTTATCTTTGATTTAATTTAACAATGAGATGTTGTTTGATCGATCAAAATCATGTCGAATTTTAGCATCAAACAACTCTACATGCTTTACAAACCTGCCACTTCCGTGCGAGCTCAATACAAGTTAATCCATATATGCCAAAAAAAGTCAAAAAATATTTCTTTCCATCGATATAGTGAGTTTCCGTTTTTATACCAAGACAGCCAGGAAGCACGAGACTTGGACCAAGCACAAATTTCTGCGATGAACAGTCAGATTTGTTTGTTTTGATAAATGAAAATTAATGGATCGAAACTGTAATTTACTGCCACTTTCATGCAAGTAGGTGCAAACTATGCTATATTACTAAATCAAAGCAATTTCTCTGCTTTTAAATTTTCTAATGTGTCTCACTATTTTGCAATAAAAGCTATAATGCATAAAATTTCTAAGGTGTTTACAGTGACGTGTGTGGACATGTTTTTACAGATCAAACAGTCAAGTTGTACAATTTAGCGCAAAAACGGTCCATACGTTTTACAAAACTGCTTCTTCCTTGCATCTTGGTACACGCTTACTCGCCAAAACAAAGCCCAATAGTGTTTCTTCAACTGCTATATAAATTCTCGTGACTTGCACTAAACATGAAAAGTGGAAATTACCCACCTTTTTAGCATGTCTTCTTCTCGCAACCAGCAATCGCAATGCCAATCTCGATTAAACGGATTGAGCCACCATGTTTGTCTGACAGTTCCAGGATACATTATCCTGGAGACAACGCATGTCACTAAACATTTTGACCAAAATAATTGTCGATCTCGCATAGAGGCAACAAAACCACAACGTTAACGCTACCGACTGACAATAAAGCTGCCTTTTGTTCTCGACAACATGTCAAGGAGATGTTGCCTCTAACACAATGAATTTTCTGGAAATCGATCACGTGATATACCGCCAGTACAGCCATGTGCTTTAAAGAGCAGAGGGCGATTCAACGACGAAGGAAAAACCCAGGCCATTTTAAAAGCCATCTCTTCCTGAAAGGAAGGCCGGGTAAAAAAATAATTATTTCCAGTGCTGGAATTCAACACACAACATCACAGAGATAACTTAATCATATGATTTTTTTACATAATTTTATCTAGCTCCTTGAAATTACAAAGTAGAATAAAAGAAAAATATTTTATTTGTTGGTTAATAATTAACGATCCCCAGCCCAACCTCCATTCATTTTGTTTTTGTAGGAGGCCGAGAAGCTAGTGTCGTGCAAAGTCCACCCACAGATTATTGTGTCTGGTTGGAGGAAGGCTGTGCAAGTTGCACAACAAGCCCTGGAGGCTGCAGCAGTTGACCATAGCAGCGACGAAGAGAAGTTTAAGGAAGACTTGTTGAACATCGCAAGAACTACCCTCAGCTCTAAGATTTTGATGCAGCACAGAGATCATTTTGCCAATCTTGCTGTTGAAGCAGTTTTGAGGCTTAAGGTAAAATCAGCAATGATTTTTTATGTAGAATTTAGGAAAATCATATTGCAAGAACACAATGTGAGATCATTTTTGTTGACAAACTTTCCTTGTTCAGGGCAGTGGCAACTTAGATGCAATTCAGATCATCAAGAAACTTGGTGGAAACCTTGTTGACTCTTACCTGGATGAAGGTAACCATTGTAGGCCTAAACTCAATTCCAACTTTTACTGTTTCAAGTACATGTGAGAACTTGCCAGTACAATTGCCTTGAAAGCTAACTGTTTAATTAAACTTGCTCTTACAGAGTTTAACAGTTGCTTTAATTTATCCTATTTCCTAACTTATTCACTTCAAATTAAAACAGGATTTTTACTGGACAAGAAAATTGGTGTAAACCAACCAAAAAAGATGGAAAATGCAAAGATTCTTATTGCAAACACAGCTATGGATGCAGATAAAATCAAGGTAGGTTATTAGTGTTTAATTGTTGTTACTTGTGTGGCTTCATTCCTTTGTATCAAGAGTAAAGAATACAAATAACAAAGTGACAAATCAATTTTAAATGATGGAGATAATTATTTTTAATCAATGTTGATTAACCAATATAAGTCTTTAAGAAAAATGTGCAATGTGCAAAAGCAAATCCTACAATAAATATGCAGTGGGCCTGACTTAAGTTGTTTAATTTTTTTGCTTCAGTATTATTCTATCACTGTTTTATTAATCTCATAGATTTTAAAGTGTGTTTACAATGTTTATGTCACTGAGTACACCTTGATTGAAAGGATACCTAAATTTTTATTCCACTGTTCAGAAGGTTGAAAACAGAAAATTTAAGGAAGCTGTCTTGTCAGCCCCTAGATAAATGTAGAATATTGCGCCCATGGCTGGCAAATCCCTCAACCCAGCCATGAGCACCCATTCCAGGTACCCGTCACATTGATGAAACAGTGGAAGGAAGAAAAATAATGGATGGGAGTTGGGGGAAGACACTAAATGAAACCACTCCACAGACCGCTGCACAAACGCTCAACAAAGAACTCTAAGATCCCAGCAGTGTACAAAGCTATCACGTACCATGTGAGCGTACACTTATGGAATTGACTGCTGGATGCCTGCTAAGCTCGTGGACCACTTGACCGCTATTAAAGCTTGTGGACCGTTTGACCATGAAGCTTGTGGACCAGTTAAACGCTATAAGCTGTGAACTTCTTGACTGCTATACTTGTGAACCGCTTGACCGCTAAGCTCGTGAACCACTTGACTGCTATTCTTGTGAACTGCTTAACACTAAGCACGTGAACTGCTTGACCGCTATACTTGTGAACCACTTAACCGCTAAGCTCGTGCACTGCTTGACTGCTATTTTTGTGAACCGCTTGACCGCTAACCTTGTGGTGGTTAACTTAGTTAAATTACAGTTAACCAAATAAAAAAATCAGCTTTGTTTTCACTTGACTGTCGTAAAACCAAAACCAAAGTAAATACACTAGCCAACCAAAGGGCATAGTAAAACCAAAACCAAAACCAAAACCAAAACCAATCCCTTTCGACAGTCAAGTGAAAACCGCTCTAATATTTATTTCTCCTAAAGGTATTTGGTTCCAGAGTTCGGGTTGAATCAACTGCAAAGGTAGCTGAATTAGAGCTTGCTGAAAAGGTTGGTATTCTCTTTCATTATTGGTTTGAAATAATTTTTATTTAGTGTTTCTTTAGTACATTTGAATTAGGAATTTATTTTGATGTACATGAATTGTATAGCTCAAAAATAAAATTTTGTTTGTTTTTCTGTAGCAAAAGATGAAAGAAAAGGTGGAAATGATTCTTAAACATGATATTACTTGTTTTATCAATAGGTATGTTGAAGCCTGTTTATTAGGGTACTTAACAAATTAATTAATAAACAGAGAAGTTGTTGTCCCCTGGCTTCTTCTTTAGCAAATAACATACATGTATAAACAACAGTAAACAAAGAAACGATAAATATAATAACTAGCAGAAATGAGATGTTTTAAGCTGTGAATTCACAATGATCCGCAAAGATCAGCACAATAATTTCATTACATGATCACATTACTAATAACTGATGAGAATATGTTTTTCTTCACTTTAAGGCAACTTATCTATAATTATCCTGAACAGTTATTTGCTGATGCTGGAGTTATGGCTATTGAACATGCTGACTTCGAAGGTGTTGAGAGATTAGCCCTCGTGTTAGGTAAGTTTATTCGGTATGTATATCAATAGTGCTGCCAGGATTACTTATGAACTGTTGTTTTCCCATCCCAGTTGATGTTTGACAACAATTGAATTGACATGAAATTTGTTGCAGCACTACACACACACAATAGAGTGACTTGCACATAGAGTGACCATGGTAGGACTATCAGCAGCTTAGTCAGTAGAGCCCTTGACTGCCGAGCATGAGGTCATTGGTTCGATTAAAAATACTCAGGGTCTTTATAAAATAACAAAATAAAAATACAGTAGTGTCCCCAGTTAGTATTTTCTTGCTAAATATGTCGACACATTGACACTCAAAATGTTCTTCTTTTTTTGCATTGTGTAAAACAGACAAAATGTATCCATATGAATGTATGAGATTAAAGAATGTGTTTCTCTATGCACTGATTCATGTTGTACATTTAGGTGGTGAAATTGTATCAACATTTGGCCATCCTGAGTTAGTGAAACTTGGGGAGTGTAAAGTAATCGAGGAAGTTATGATAGGAGAGGACAAGGTATGTGTTACTTGTTGTTACCTCACCTGACACCTGCTCTTGTTTAAATTTTTTTTAGTTATTTATTAACCAAAGGTTTTCTGCAAAAGACCTCTGTAACTTTTCTTGGACTGCTAGCTTCAGCTGATAAATTGCCATGTGAAATAAGGGAAGTTTGACATGACATCAGAAGTTACTGTGCACCTTTTAAACTCATCGCCAATTGATGAACTTGGGAACTGGTGCCTTAAAAGTTAGCGGGGAAGGGCCCGAGATAATTCAGGCACCGCGGGGAGGTCTCCATGGCAACCTGGCAAGCGGGAACTACCCCAGTAGCGGCCGCTAACAGGCACCGTCACACTGAAACTAGTCCAGTGGAAATACTTACCTAACCCGATACTTACCTCTGCAATCGAGAAGCCCTCTGGGAAGGGAGGGTGGGGCTAATGAATCCGCAAAGATTCGCTCCAAGAAGCAGTGATCGCAACGATCGCTAGCAAGCAAGGCTGTACGTAGTTTGCCCCTGCGAACTCCAAAGGGGCGCCCCCACGGATCATGTGCAAACTGGGCGAGACCGCTGGCAGCATTAGCTCGAGATTAATCTTGCCTAAATTACATTTAGCCACATTTAAACTCATCGCCAATTGATGAGCTTGGGAACTGGTGCCTTAAAAGTTAGCGGGGAAGGGCCCGAGGTAATTCAGGCACCGCAGGGAGGTCTCCATGGCAACCCGGCAAGCGGGAACCACCCATCTTCTCCGGGGCTTGGAGACCGGAGGTTCCCGATGGTCGGGCAACATGGAACCTCTGAACCTTCCCAAGAGACTCCAAGCACCGCTAAGCCCAGTAACAGATAGCTGGATGCCATAGAGGAGAACCAAACGAAAACAAGCCTACCCTACACCGGCCGGCGATGATGGGCTACAAGGACCACCTTGGCAAGCAAAGGCCAATCAACCTAGCTTCTGAGAAAGAGATGCTAGGGCCGCAGAGGGAGTTCTGATGTAAGACTGAAAGGCATTGCTTCTCAACCACCCCAGCTCCTGAATTAAATGATCTGGAATACCATTGCGGCCAGCAACGGTGGCTGCCCCTACTCGGAAGCTGTGGCTTGAAAAATTACCAGAAATTCCAGCAGAGGCCATGATTTGCCGAAGCCAGTTGGTGAGTAGAGTACGCAAGAGAGGTTGCCCGTGTTGACAAAGAAACAGAGGGCCCGGCCCATCACCCCGGATTGCCAAATAGGCCAGTAACGCGTGAACAGCGCATAGGGGATACTTGCCAAGGCCAATATGAATGGAGCAGCCCTTACGGAATGGATCTGTCTTGGAAGCCTTGATCGATGCACGAGGGAGCTGTGCTGGAGTCCACTGCGAGATCCTGCACGCCCAAATGAACCGAGGGGGAGAAACTTGCCAAAGAAGGGACCGTAAATTCCGCGGACCGCAGGAACCCAAAATACCCCAGCGTGCATGCCACCCAAAACATACAATGATCAGGGAGCTGCAAATTTAAGGACTTCCAAATAACTAGCATGAGTTCATCTGTAATTGGCAAACAACTAGATGAGGGGGAGCCCTGTGTGCCACGAATGACACGCTGCAAGCGAAGACAGTTGTGAAGAGGATCCGCAAAACCTTGTTCGATATGAAGGGCTCTCACCCCAGAGAGATACACTTAGATGGAAGAGTGGTGAAGGGAACCGGCCAAAAACGTAGCAAACAAGCAGGAGCGTCCATTCATCTGCCGGACAGGGAGACCCCGACGAGTGGATCCTGCCTAACTGACGGCAGAAGGACAAGAACTGGGACTGAGCTGTCGCATATGACTTGCGGGTAGATGCTGCTAGACCCTGGGCCAAATAGGAATAGCACTGTGCTTCTAAAGTGGGGAGATGAGGTCCTGCAACAGCTGCGGTGGAATGGGAGTTGGGTGACGATGAGCCTCCGGAGCCAAACGGCGAAAGTCCTGCCAATGAAAGCGAGAAAGGGCATCAGCTATCGAATTAGTGACTCCCGGAATATGTTGGGCAGAGAACGAAAAACTATGACAGGCAGCTGCCAGTAGCAAGGAACGTAGCAAATGCATAAGACATGGCACTTTAGATGTCCTCGCATTCAGAATGTGCACCACACTGTCGTTGTCCGATCGAAATAGAACATGCCGCCTGCATCAAAGGTGGCCCCAATGGCAATGAACTGTTCTCGCTGTGAGGGCATCCAAGAACCAGTAAACCACATGCCCCCTAAATATGCACCAAAGCCCAGAGAACCAGCTGCATCCGAGGAAACTTCCACGCCTGCAGTAGGCGTATTCCCTGGAAAAAGCCAGAAATTGACCCCATGCCAATCTACTAGGAACTGATGCCACCACTGCAAATCACGATGGAACTCCCTATTAAGGCGGATAGGGTGGTCCTTCTTGCGGAAGCAGCCGAGCAGGTCAATCATGCGGGGTAAAAAGGTGCGACCAGGCCATACCACTTTCGCGGCATGATGGAGGTGACCAATTAGGGACTCTAGTTTGCGTCTGTTGCACCAAGACCGGGCTAACCATGATGCAATCAACTCCCGCAGGGCGTGGAGTTTCTCTGCTGGAAGGCGGGCCACTTGATTGACAGAATCCAGTTCAATGCCCAGAACTGTAAGTACTGGGGCAGGGCCAACACATTTTCCAGGATGAAGAGGTAACCCTAGCTGGTCGCAAACAGCCAAAGCAGTACTGAGGTTCCTAGCACACTGAGTAGAGGCTGGGGGGCCGGCTGTGATAAAGTCATCGAGATAATGGAGTAAATCGGAGACCTCATAGGAATGCACCAGAATCCACTCAACCATATCCGCCACAGAGTTGAAAATGTAAGGGGCCGAGCGAAGGCCAAATGGAAGGGTCAAGTCAACATAGTAGGACTCCCGCCACTTCATTCCTAAGAGAAACCGGTCTGATGGGTGGACTGGAATATTACGGTAAGCTGCCTCAACATCAAACTTGGCCATAAGTGCCCCTTTGCCGAGTCGGGACACCATGCGGATGATTTGGTCAACTGTTATGTAATGAAAGGTAAACTCATGGGCGTTGATCCCATTGTTGACGCTTGCACCACTGGGGGAAGAGAGGTCCACTATCAAACGTCTTTTCCCAGGCTGACCCTTTTTGGGAATAACCCCGAAGCTACTTATATGAAGGTTGGGGAGGGGAGGAGATCTGAAAGGGCCCGCAACCCTACCCCGGGAAACCTCATGGGCCAAGTACTCATCAATGACCAAGGGCTGCTGGTAGGCTGAAGGTTTGTTTTTCTTAGCTGATTTTAGTGAAAGCGCAGGCTGAAAACCGAGCTTGAAACCATTGCGCAATCCGTCCAATACAAAGTTACAAAGCTGCCGATTCGGATGATTTCGCAATTCCCAGGCAAACTGATCCACCTTGAGGGGAGTTATTTCCGACACCGGGGAAAGAGGCACTAGGAAAAGGAAACAAACAATATCATACAGTAGCATATCATAAAAGGACGGTTTATTCGTGCTATGTCATTAAAGATAGAAAGGACCAAGTAGCAACAGACAGCAAACGTTAAGCTTAAAAAAGGAGAGTTCACGTTCGCCGAGACTTGCTGGAGGAGCGGCACGGGGATCGCGAGCGGCGGCTGGACTTGACTGGGGGCTGGGCTGGCTCTGACCCTGGGCAGTTGACAGCACGATGTGCGCCAGAGCAGCTGGAACAGCGGTGAGCGTAACGACATGAGGCATATGGGGCCACACAACGACCTTTGTTCCATGACTTGCACAGAATCTGTGAGGTACTTGCTCCAGCTGGTTCTGATGAGTCAGGGGAAGAGACATTGGGTCCACGAGCCGAGGCTCCCGCAGCATGGAAGTTGAATAGCTGGACGTTAATGGAGGACCAGTCAACAACATTTGCAGCAGCAGCATGCTCCCGGAACGCTCTGTCATAGGCCAGCCAGACCTTCCCGCTAAACTGACGGTATGTCCTCAGGATGAGTAGTTTATACTGCAATAGGTCTCGAGAGCGGTGCAGGAAGAAGGAGATCATAATAAGGCAATAGACAGAGAGGGCCTCCATCCAAGTGGCGACGTCCTCAACACGGCGTTTAGGCTTCTTCGGAGTAGAGGTCAGCACAAGACGACCGTCAAACAGTAGCTGAGGCTCAGGTTCGGCAGATGCAATAGTCGACGGGAGCAGATCGCCCAGGTCAATGAACTTCCCCGCCACCACTTGGCCGACTACTTTCGCAGGAATGGGGGAGAAGCCAGGACCGACAATGAAGGGCTGGTTCAGCACGGGGAACGAAGTCGGGGACGAAATGTTGGCCTGGGGCAACGTGGCAGCAGATGAAACGCTATCCTGGGACGACGTGGTCGCCATGTTGGCAATGGACAGTGAATGCGAGGGGTTCGGGGGCAAAAAGGTCGACACAAAAGTGGGAACAACCAAAGCTGGCCTACCTTGAGCAGCAGAAGCTCCTGCGGAGGTGGAATGTGCAGCAAAGCCCGCTCCAGAAGCAGCAAAAGCGGAGGCTTGCGAAGATAGCAGCGAGGGAACGCCCCCAAAGGCCATCGCACTGGACAGGCTAGCGGTCGACGAAGATTGGCCTGAGTTTGGCAGGGCCGTAGAAGCTGGGCAAGGTACCGAAGCCTGTTCCGCCGCCAGAGCAGCCTTCACAGCTTGCACAACCGTAGCCAGAAACTCCGGGGACGGTTGAGATGGTGGATTCGTGGCAGCAGAAGCATTGGCATCCCCAGGAGGCGAAGCATTGCTCGCAGACGCCCCGGCAACATCACAGGAAGACGGACGATTCGCATCGGCTTCAACCTCGACGAGTGGCGTCGCTTGACTATTTTGAGTAGAACGAGGCATGACGGAAAAATGCTAATGAATCCGCAAAGATTCGCTCACAGAAGCAGTGATCGCAACGATCGCTAGCAAGCAAGGCTGTACGTAGTTTGCCCCTCCCAACTCCAAAGGGGCGCCCCCACGGATCATGTGCAAACTGGGCGAGACCGCTGGCAGCATTAGCTCGAGATTAACCTTGCCTAAATTACATTTAGCCACATTTCAATTCTATTACAGTTGAACCTCCACTAATGGCCACTTCTCTACAATGGCCTTTTTTTTTTTGGTGGACAGTCCATACATTGACTCTTGTTTCAACCTTTCTACAATGGCCACTTTTTTTCTGTCCCCAAGGTGGTCAGTGTAAAGAGTTTCAACTGCCGTCTTTATTCACTGTTAAAGGCGGAGTCTCATGAGCTGCGCATGCTTGGGAAGTCAATGTCAATCTTGCTCTTCCCACTCTCGTTTGAATTGTATTTAGTGAAAAAGGGCTCAGTTAGCCTGTTCCAGGCTCTCCGATAGTGGGAGAGAGCAAAATAGTGGGGAAGACATGAAAGTCAAAGGCACTCAAAAAGTTAGTCTTAATTCAACTGCCCCATCTATCTCCGAGCCTGGAACAGGCTTGGGCTCAATAGGCAACACACGACTTTTACTTCCCACCAAAATGCTGCTTGTTCCGTAAGTGTTCCCTCTCTAGCGGGTAGATTATGCTCTGGAGGGTTCTGAATTTTGACTGAGCAAATTCAATATGTGATTTTTGCCACTTGTTTCTCACTGAGAGGTCGTGACACACATATTGATTTTCTCCTGTGGTTTTATTTTTTATAGTCGGCAATCTTAAGCCAATCTTTCTTATACTACTTATGAACTTATGATCAGAAATCGTCCTTTTGAAGCCCAAATTCTATCCTTTAACGGTATGGCCACCGAGGGGAGGGGGGTTACTCAAAAAACTTTTATACAGGGAGGCTCTGCCCGGAAATCCAACCCCTTACCCTTTTATATACCATTTTTTCACGAAAAGGGTGCCCCTCTTTCATATACCTTCCTGTCGACAAATGGTATCTCTTTTAACTGTTGTAAATGCATTGTCATTTAAATAGGAATCAATCCTAAGAATAGAACGTTTTCCCGCCTTTATAAAGCCTTAAAATTCTTCTGTTCGGCCCTTTGGGCCCTTTCGCAGACCCAAATGACAGATTTTCCTACCCTTTCATATACTTCAACGAGTAAAATCCCTACCCTTTCATATACCTGAAGCCTGAAAAAGGTACCCCTTTAGAGCGGAGCCTTCCCGTATAACCCCTTTATAGGGAGTCCCCCCCACCCCCTTCCACCGGGTATGGCCGGCTCCACCACTTTTGGCCACCATCTTGTTTTTGTCAGATAAATCTTGAAAAAGTTTGGGGAATTTTTCAAGCGTTGCGCTTTGGCTCGCACAAGCACAGTTCGTGAGATTTACCCTTTGAGTTTTTTTTTAGTTATTTGCCTCGAACCAGCGGTTTTGTTCTGGCACATTTTGTAGAGTGGTGAGTCATATAACTTCCTGGACAACAAAGCAACAAATTATCAACCGGTCAAGATAGAATTAAAGACACTTCTGGTGTTGATTTAAGGCAATGATTTTTAATGATGACCTAATTCCTTGTAGTTGCTGCATTTCTCTGGATGTAAGCTTAATGAAGCATGTACTATAGTGATCAGAGGTGCTACTCAGCAGATTCTTGATGAAGCAGACCGATCTTTGCATGATGCATTGTGTGTCCTAACACAGACAGTCAAGGAAACAAGAACAGTGTGTGGAGGAGGTGAGGAGTTAGGATTTATTTGCTACAATGAGTCACTTTGAACTGTAAATCAGCCAGGGCCAAGTTGTTCGAAGCTGGGTTAAGATAACCCTACCCTGGGTGCCAGAGACTTTTCATGCGCGGTTTCCGGTTTCCGGTTGCGGAAAAGTCTTAAAAAGTGACCCGCTTCGCCGCTCGTGTCTTCTGCCGATGGAGCTCTTCGTCACTCGCGAGAAAAAATCTCTGGTACCCAGGGTTAGTGCGAAAGTTGAACTCAGCTACAAGAGCTTAAAAAGCAAATTCAGATTAATTCACTTTGCCTACAATTTGATGATTGGATACTGTAAAAAGAATAGAGAAAATTATCCGGGAGAGTGCTTTTGATAAAAAGAAAAAGAAACCCGGGATAAAATTTAATTCCGGGTTAGCGCTAACCGGCGTTCGAACAACTGGAGCCAGGATGTTAACAGAGAAGGGGGTGGGGCATTGCAATGCCTTTGAAAGTCATACGGCTGGCAGGGCAAAGTATGTTCCTCGACGTTTTGTAAACCAATTATAGACAAAACAACAAAACTACCAACATGTTCCTCATACCAGATTATTATTGATTGGCTATGCAGTATTGCTAGATATTGTTTTAGAACAAAATCTATTGATTAACAAAGTTGCCTTGAAGATTTGTATGAAAAAACTGTTTGATAGACTGCCCATAAAATGTGAAGAACTTACAGTATATTAACAGGTTTTGGCTTGAATTATTCCATTGCTTATTATACGTAGTATGCTGAGGTGAGAAGATACAAGATAAAGATCAACTTCATACTGCAAACTACCGCTGACTAAATGGGAAAACAGTACTATGACTATCAAACAGGGGCACCCAACGGTTCCTCCTAAATAATTTGAAAACACTTTTAAGGCTCAGTATCCAGAGTACTTTAAGCTATCTAGAAATGCATTCTAAGCGGAGCTATAAATGTTCGGTCACCCTAGGGGAACTTAAGACTTTTCGAAATTACCAGGGTTTGAGAGTTATTTTTCCGAAAATTTTTAGGTGAAATTTGACGTATAACGAAAGTGAGATATTTTCTGATTCTTAACGCCATCACATTTTTGAATCCAAAAAATTTAGGTTCCCTTTTTTTCTACCAAAAATAGCCCGACTGGGGAAGTTAAAATGTGAAAATTAAGCTTCAGAAAATCGTAGGGAATTTATACGATATGCTTCGAAAATTGTACATGAATGGAACAGTCATCTAGAAATTTTTAGCCGTCCTCAGGTAATAGAAAATTCCAGGCAATATTTGCTTCTCCGAACAGATATTTAATACCCTTCGCTTCACCTGGCAGCAGATCAAATAACCTTTATCAACTCTGGTCCATCTAAAATCGCTACTTAGCACGTAAATTAAAATGTATTTAAGATGTAGAATATTAATCTTGTATACATATAAGCATGTCTTTCTATTATCAATGATATAAGTATAACAAAATGCGGAAAAACGTAAAAATGAACCACATAAACGAACAAGTTTCTTAAAATCTAACTTTTTCAATGGTGTTTTGATGTTTTCTAAGTTTTCTTCCAAACGTACATTATTTAGCATGATAATGATGGCAGTGTAACGAAAAGGTTTCAGAAGCCCGCTTCAGCCCAAAAGCTGTAATATTGGCTTTAAGCAATGGTATGATTCCTGATGACCGTGCCAAAATGGATTTAAGAAAGTTAACTTGTCATTTTATGCCTGTAAAGCTGTTCAGTGAATACCTGTTTAATACCATTGGGGTTTTTATAGCCATTTGTGGAAATTTCTTACATTGATGATAAAGCCGAAGAGATCAGTGTCTTTTGTTAGTTGGTCTGTGTGGTGTCCTTATCTTCTTTTTGTTATTGACCAGGTGCGTCCGAAATGTTAATGGCTAATGCAGTTTCCCAGCTTGCTGCAAAGACTCCAGGAAAAGAAGCAGCAGCTATGGAAGCTTTTGCAGCCGCACTTAGACAGGTTAGTCAATACATGTACTTACGCTCAACAAACTGTATTGCATTCAACAACTTTTGAAATGTTTTTATTTATTGATTTGTTTACTTACAAGTATGATGTCTGTAATAGGAGCATTTGTATTATTTGTCCTCAGCTTCCAACCATTATTGCCGATAATGCAGGTTATGACAGCGCTGATTTAGTGGCCAAACTTCGAGCAGCGCATACAGAAGGAAAGAAAACCTATGGACTAGGTAGACATTCTTATTCCTTTTCACTGACCGGGTTGTTTCTTGTAGTAATAAAAGAGAAGCTTGAAGCCTCTTTTGAGGTATGATTCAGTCTCACTAGTTATACATGTGGATAGTAGCTAGCCTGCGTAGCAGCAGCCGGCGCCGGTTCTTAATTTTTACAGGCCCGCGCGAGGCAAGAGTACAACGTAACTTAAATATAATACAATGGCTTTTGATTTTCTCTGCAATTTATGTGGTCATGGGAAATCGAAGTAAAGAACTTCCACCACCAGTTGAAAAACAATAATATTTCATGTGCTTAGTTCCAGAAGTGCAAAGGTCGTAGTTAACTGTATGCACGAGTAGGGTTCGACTGTGAATGGCGTGGTAGTAGTTGCCATTAACTTTAAAACGCAGCAGATATCGCCCTCGTCCTAACCTTAAGTCGTGTACTATTGATGTTCATCACCGGAGTCAATGGTGAGCCGACTGGCAGTGAAAATATTACCTTGGTTAGTTTGACATGGGTTTGTCATTATTTAACATAAGCATGCTATTGTCTTACATTAATCTGTTATTTTCAGATATGACCAACGGTCGCATTGGAGACATGTGTGAGATGGGTGTGACCGAGTCTTACCAAGTCAAGAAGCAAGTGCTTACGTCAGCAGCAGAGGCGGCTGAGATGATCGTCAGAGTTGATAACATTGTCAAGGCAGCCCCGAGGTAAGAAACCGCTGGCGGGTTGGGTTTCTTTTCTGGAAAAAGCCGTGCAAAACAGTCCAGTCGTAAAGAGAATCTGCTTATTAATCAGGACTGTTCCGCCAGATCAGTCTATTCCTAAATAGTATGCTACGTAGCCTTTTTAGCGAAACTGGCAAGGAAAGCCTATTTCATGCAAACTGATCGGCGGTTGACCGCCAGCTCTGACTTTTGGTATGAGCGCCCTTAAACGAGTTAATTACCGTTTTCATTGTGCGATAAACTGAACCTTACTTGAAAAATCAGCGTCCAGGCGAAACCTCTGCGTAGTAACCTGTACATACACCTGTACTAGTGTGCTTCTGATGAGCTGTGGAGCTCGAGAGGTCTGAGGCAATGTCGTACTCTTAAAAGGGACATGAAGTTTGTTCAATTGTCAGTCGTGTTTGATTTCCTGTTTTGTTGTTTTACAGACGGCAGGAAGGCAGAATGCGATAACTGCTGGAAAGCCGGGCATGTCTGTCGTTACAACAGCCCCTGGTTGTTAACCAGTCTGTGATTTTATCCTGTATTCATGCAGGAGCTGGTGAAAGGCTGGCTGATTTATAGAAAAAATTATTCAATGTAATAGAAAATTAGCGAAACCAAGGTGGATACTAAACCTATTATGTTTGTCTTCTACTAATGCAGTTAGTAAAGTTAATGTTTGCGTATAGATCGGTTGCCTCCATCGTTCAAACGTAACTCAGTTCACGCAAACCACCTACCTTTTTGCGTTCGATGTAGAACGTACTCATAGATTGGAGTAAGATTATATGACACAACCGTCGTTAGTTGAGTGGTTGGTTAACGGACTGATAGATTGATTGATTGATTGATTGATTGATTGATTTGATTAATTGAACGGATCGCGGGAGCCCCACAAATTTGGCAGGGGTGAATGACATCATCGACTCATTTGCCAAAGGAAAGAAATCCTAGCATCGAGATCGGTTGAACGCGCTCCAGTAATCTATGATTACCACTTTTTTAAAAGAGGTTGTAATTTTTACCAAAAGAGGCCGAGGTAATGTAACAAACATTCTGTTACAAATTCCGTACGGGTTATTCTAACATTTATCGTTTTACTTCGAAGCCTGAATTCCATTGCCAATTACAGTCGTACTTTTTGTATTGGCGAATCCGATGCAGACAAATACAGTCAAACTCCGTAAATACAGACACTGAAGAGACCGCATAAAGTATCCATATTAACGGGGTGTCCGTAATAAGCGGGTCATGTTATTAAAGTAAAAAAATCCCGTTTACTAGAACAAAATACCAAAGAAATAAAGAGGACATAAGTATCGTCAAATTAAACTTCTCTACCCTTCACAAAGCCGTCATTACGCGGCTCAAGTCCACGGAAACACTTAAAAATGGCTCATTTATGGTATTGCTTAATCAAAACCCTTCCTTTGCATTACTCTTTTGATGCCAAATATGAAGTCTACAAATCATCCTTTCCCGCTGTGTATGGTAGCGCTGGAAACATCGACGGTGCTGTCAACTGAAGGATCAGTTTTGGCTTTTCCAATTCGTTTCGTGGTAATGCCGCGCTCTAGTTTGCATTATGTTTGTTTGATCTGTGTCATTACACCAAGAAGACACTGTTCTTTTCTCTCTTGACTTATACAAATAGGAAGCCAAAGATGCCAACAGTCATAATCCGCGGCATTTAACGAAACGATATTGTCCTCTTCTGTTCGCAGGCCAAGGCGAGATGATCGTTGCCACCCATAGATGTCTTAGTTTGAAAGATGGCTGCTGCATTCATTAAGTTATGTCGTCTCGGATACATGCTGATCACATGTCCAGTGAATCAAAAGCAAGCGAGAGTCACAAAAAGTTCTGTTTCTTTTTTCACACTGCTGTTTCGTAAAAGCAGCCTGGATTTGCCACCTCATTTATCAGTGTGATTTACACTTTTGACACAGATAGCCTCCTTTTATGAGAGATGAAGCGAACACTCCACTGCGCGGAAAAGTTGAACATAAGAGGCTGATCTTTGCTATTTATTGCCTGCATATGATTATTCTTCAGGGTTAGAGTTAGCCTAGACGCACCAATGCCGATAATTAACCGTCTGTCAATCTGGAAGCTTAAAAAAGAAGTGTTGTGTAGTGTTAGAAATAAAATTGTTACGGCCAAATGGTGCCTAGTGTTTTGAAGTGTTCCAGCTTAAGTTATATAAGCCACAGGTCAAACCTCACTGTTCACATGTAATGAAACTGATGCGAATTATGAGCAGAATCCGTTCTAACAGGAACGGGGAAAATCTCTTAATTGAGGAAGTCGAATCTCAACACTTACTTATCTCTTCTGAATATAACTTTGCAAGAGGTGTATATGTACCGTTCGCATGTGAAACTACTTACACCGCCTTCACAACAGAAATTAGAACCAAAGCATGCTCTAACATACCCGGCCCGTGTTAGCCTGTTCCAGGCTCCGAGATAGTGGTGAAAAGTCGTTAAGTAAAAAGAAATGAGAAAAACGCGCAGGAGCTGGGGAGAGACCATTTTTTCCGCCGCCACCGCCCCCTTTCCCAAGTCGCGCGCGTCTTATTTTCGCTTTGCTTGTTTAATACGTCCCCACTATACTATCTGAGAGCCTGGCACAGGCCAGGCCGGTGTTAGCTTGGTGACCAGGCTTCAGTTGTTCAAAAGGTGCATAACGCTATCCAGTTGATAAATCTCTATTCCATGGTAGTGCAGTTTTTTCAATTTTAATACACGTACCTATCTTGAACCAGTGTATATCGCTGTCTAACTTCTGAACAACTGAGGGCTGAAAATACAATGTTGGCTAAAGTATCACTACTTCGCAGAGGAAAAAATACACGTTGCATCTCAGGAAAATCGTCTTGGAAATGCGCTCGCTCAAGTTGCTAAAACCTACGTTGTCCGACATTCGTAGCGGGTATAAAGTGCCGGGTCACCCCAGTTCATGCCTATGATCAATTTATCAACCTTGCCTATAAAAATACCTTGACATAGAAGCTTTTTGATAATACAGTATTTTTCTCTTTCAGTATTATCTACATTTATCGATACAGCTTCATGCAATAGAATGTAGTAAATTATTATTAAAAGACTCTAAGAAACTTTCGAATTCAGTATTTAATAATAGTCTTTGCCTTAGACTGCAAAACAGTCGGTCTTTTTCTCAAAGTCAGTAAAGAAATCGGTAAAGCGTGCCGTAAGAGTCTTACGCGCGAAGCGCGCGAGCGGGCGTGTGAGGCAAGAGAAAAAAAACGTCTCTCCCCAGGTCTCGCTCTGTTTTCAGCCTCGTTCCAGACCTTTTGTTTGACTGCTCGCACGTACTTGAATACGCGAAAATATGGACTGTTTTGCAGTCTATTGACTCGGCACTCAGCAGTTTTCTTTTCACGCAGATAATTTTTGCTCCGCTGTTTTCTTTACATTTGTCAGTGCATCAGATTGTTTTCCTGCATTCTTATCTGCTCTCTTCTGTGATGGCGTGCCGCCTTTTTGAATGATTTCCGGAGAAGCCGTGATGATACTCCTTGTCTTGTTTTTGACTGATCAGCACATTTGCCACACTCCTTGTGGTTTTTGTACCAACACCTGTTAACAAACCAGCAACATTTAATGGTCACAACCTCATTCCCAGGGTTCTCTCCTACCCGTCCCTACGAAGCGAGAAGGCCGAGAGAGGCCGGCAGGAGAAAGAACCTGGGAACGAGGTTGTGTTAGTCGTGTTCAGTACATACATGGAAAACCCTTTTTATAATCAACATTCCCACAGTTATTTCCACATCCAGATCAACCTCGTTCGCACCCTGGCAAGGTCCTAGATCCGCGCCTGGGCATAGCAATATCGACTCTAGTCATCGATAGCAACAGAAGACAGGAAACAGTTTCAATGCCTTCATGTAGTCTGATCCATTACTTTTGGAATTCAAGTGAAGTGGAGACACGCTTTTTAAGAAGGTAGCACATTGTGTGAAAAAGCCTCTTAAAGACTAATCCAGTGTTAACCCAAACATAACTTACGGTGGGGTCTGACAGCAAGTGCGACAAAAACGTCGATAATGTTCTTTATGTGTGGAGTTCCTACTAGCTTCAGGTCTGTTCAATGAGCCCACGTCGACAGGAAAATCTTGTTCTTCATGTTGTTCATATTTGACTGGTCGTCTAGATAGCATCACCGTGTTTTCAGAAGTTGTGTCTTTGCTGGATCTATCTGTATTAAAAAAGTCATAGTGCCAACTTTAATAAAAAAATTCCTACAATTGCTTTCCATCTGATTACTACGGAAGCCCAGGGGGACCAGATGATAACGACGCAAGGATTAACGATCTGAGATTGTTAATCCTCTCCGTTAATCTTTAATCTGCTTATTTGAGACAACCTGTTCTCTGAGCCTTGTTTGTTGATGCTTTTTAGTGTTTTATCATTCCATTATTATAGCAAAATAAACTTGTGGCTCATGTTTGTTTAAGGGTGAAGATGAAAGGAAACCTCTGGAAGCTCAATCCGAGCATACCAAGCTTTTTTTGCGGTGAATCCAACGTCTTATTACATATTTATTTTTTATTTGCAGATTTAGTATGCAAAACAAATATAGCTACAAGGTGGAAAAAACACTATAGGACACAAAGTCGACAGGGTTAAACCATCTAGCCCTTATCCCAACAATAATTCCCAAAATTCTACCCAGGCAAAGAAACATTCCTGGGAAGGAAATAACATATGCGTTAATTTTGCTTCCGGGGTTACTAAGCGGATGATGTCTTCATTTTAATTTGTCATGGTCGATTTTCATTGCAAATCTGTAACATTCCATAAATGCGTGTCGTGGTGATTCTACTTTCGAACCTTATTTCATGCATCAAAAACTGTTATAAATTATTAAAATTAGTGAATCACATCGAACCACTGAATCACTGATCGATTGTTATGAAAAGTGGTTTGTAATTATCAAGAATAACCAATTATCCACTTCTCAATACAAGCGGCACACTTCCAAAGAATAACAGAAATTATCTTAAACTGACTGAGTCGGCCGCCTTAATAACTGTGACTGTCAAACGGACTAGTCGTCGTCAAAAAATCGATATCAAAATAACTGTTCAGATTTGTTAGCAATGAAATGATATCGTACCAGATGAGTTGGGGTTTACAGGTAAATGATGTGCTTGTTTAAACATAGCTCTCGCGTTCCTGATCCTATTGAACCTTCCTATATATTTTTTTAACTGAATAGAATAATTTATATCTATTAAAACAGCCGCAATAAAAAGCAAAATGTATAGTTACTTATAGGATTCCGGGGGCATTGCAGAGAAAAATAGTTTCGAAAGGAGCTGAAAGAGATTATACTCTATCCAGTCTATCGAGCCGAAAAGAATATCAAGGATATTTTAAAAGATGAGGCACATTGAACCTCCATTTCAAGTAAGTCTGAGCTTAGCCGACAACTGGGAAATCATCAGTGATCAACAAAACACTTCTTTCCCAATGAATTTCCGCCTAAAACACAAGATGCCTTTCATCTTGAAACCGTGAAATTAAAGCAAACTGGAAAACTGTTGGTAACTCTACATGTTCAGACAATGCTGCGGGTGAAAATTTTGAATTGAGGTCCGTCTTAAGTCAATTACCTGACGGAGTATAATTAAACGAATGTCTGCAGAAGTAATCCTTTTTATCATAGGAACGTATGTATTTGAGCGTCGGAGCCCTGGTCCATTAACATCCGTCCGTTGCGTGCTCGGTTAAGTGATGTGGGAGGTATATAGTAGTTGAGCCGTCAGTAACGCCCGAAGCCAGTGTATAGCGGTACCCGGCGGGCAACAAAAGCAATCTAAAAATAAAGGTTCTTGTTTGTAATCCCACTTGATCTCGCTAATCGTTACGTTTGTTGGCTTTGAGTTAAGTAAGTAAGCAAACACTTGTTACAATGCTATTAAACTTAATCATGATTTTTTTTCGAGATAAAATAGTTTCTGATAAATGAATAGTATAATCATCTTGGTATGTAAATGTAAAGTGCATCACTGAGATACAAATAAGTCTCTTTGTTACAGAATGGAAAAGTCATGAGTTGATAAAAAAGTTCGTCTTTCCCTCTCAGTTTGTTTCAGGACTGTTTCATCGGTAGCAGACGGTCCCCACTGAAATGTGGCTTGTACAGAGGTTCGGCATCAGTTTTGTTAGATCTCTGAACGGGTCAGACTTTTACCAACAATAATTAGAGGTGAAAGAAAAATTGTTTTTATCAGAAATGGCGATAAGGTATTTCATGGTGCCAGCGAAAAACTAGGAATCAAAGCTAACATTTCGAGCGATAGGCAGGGCGGCGAATGACTCTGGGTGACGTAAACCGAAATAACTTCATCAAAGATGATAATTTCAGCATGTAACGAAAACCTTAGAACCTTTCCAAAACCATGACCATTTTTTTATATACTTCTGTAAAAATGTTACAAAGAATCTAAAGACTCTAAAAGTGACTTAGGTCTATAAATTTTAAATGTTTCTTTTTTACAATCCATCGCCTGAGAACAGGGTAAGTGATAATGGGCACAAATCTCACAGGCCATTGAGTATAATGGACTACCGTATTTATTCGATTAACCGCCCTGGGCGCTTATTAAATTTTTAGACCTTGAGGGTGGGCGCTTATTCGAGGTGGGCGCTTATTCGAGGCTGGGCGCTTATTAAATTTTCATCATTTTCAGCAAGTAAAGTGTGTTTATTTTGCAACAAAACAATAAATGCTAATAACAAAACGCGAAGAAGTAACAAAGCAAGATTTCTGTAAAATACTTTGAAGAAAAGTCCGCCCTGGGGGAAGTCTCTTATTAGAATTTATTCACTCAAGTGGGTTGGGTGGGGGTGACCGCTTATTTGAGTTTGATTGGGAGGAGGAGGGGGTGAGCGCTTATTCGAGGCTGGGCGCTTATTAACTTTTTCTGCCTTTAGTATGGGCGCTTATTCGAGGTGGGCGCTAATTCGAGGTTGGGCGCTTATTCGAATAAATACGGTATATAGAGCTCCGAGAGTCAGAGACCACATTTGTATACTGATAAATCCGACTGACTTTCCTTAGAAAAAGGATCTATTTACCGATGGACAGAAATCTATTTTCCTTGCCAGCAACAGTGACTCATCCATTTAATGTGCGGCAGCGCGGACCATGCTGATTTACTGAAGACCGAGTAGGGTTTGCCCTTCACATTGATATTCACATATTAAAGGTCCCCATAGTCTCATACACGTCACGTAAAGATCTTAACGCCTGGAAATGAGCCTTTTCCTACAAATGGGCTCGAGACTAATCTTACTTAAACTGACAACTTCCTTTTGCAAAAATAACCTGAAAGTATAATCTCTAACCTAGTAAAACTGTTGTAAACCCCGACAGGAAGTTAGTAGAAGTGCATGGCAGAATAGCGTGCCAATTCACTCGCCTTTGTTTTCCGATATTTGTTTACCGACTGGAAAAAAATGTTAAAGCACTTGCCTTTTTGGAGTAAAATCACAAGACAGGCCCCAACCAGAACCAAAAATATTGCACCCATAGAAATCAGCGGAATCAAACTTCTCTTCATGATAACAGACCAAAACAAACTTGCTAACAAAACTAGCACGCGATGACAGGCACGCTCAGTACTCTTCACCAGCTTAAATACTCAGCCAAACGTGATCGATCATTCACGTTTCAAGGACAAGTTTGTTTTAAATTTCACTTCAAATGAATCATCTTATTTATTATCTGTTGTCTATGGTGTGATGTCATGGCTCGATAACCTACAGATATTTAATAAGTTGACCCGAAATCACGGAATTTGTTAAGATTCTCACTTTTTCATTCTACACTATTCCAAGGGAAAAAGAATGATAAATTCTTTATTCCGGCCTAGAACTTCCCTCAAAATAATTGAGTGATCCAGGGATGATCTCTTTTTTTTGGGTAGGTGTTAACCTGTTTTAAACCACCCAGTATCAACTCTTGTCTGGAGAGGTCAGTATTTGCTTGCTGCTTGCGAATTTTAGTTGTAACAAGGACAACTTTTTTTACTCATCCTAGGGCTCTAAAATGTGACTCGAAGTTGATGTTTAGTTTTTCTTGATTGATCAGCCAAATGATACTTTTGACATGAGACTACATGTAATTAGTAAATTCATAAATACTATTGCAGGTCTAACTGCTTTCTTTCAATAGATTCTAAAAATTTATAAGCTTACGACGAAGCTTCCTGACAAAGTGAGTACATAGCCCTCGATAGATAGTGTGTTTGGAAGGGTGATGAACACCTGGAACACGGCCTCCTTTTTTCTCTCAGTTTTGGCAAAAGTGAAAAATTTTTCTTATAACAGCATTTTTAATTTATTTCAAACATAGGTCTTTTTCAAAAGATATTTTCATTAATTCATTATTGTCCCCAAAGGCGTTTGAGAGTTTGTTGTTGTGTCAGCCATGGTTACTAGAGGGGCATATATAGTTAGCTTCCTGCAAGGAAAGAATACGTGATTGGAGAAGATGACCAACTCTGGAAAAATCATGTTGTTTACGTTGGTGGTTAAGACCACTGTATCTTCCTGTTTCCTGCTTCAGGAAGAGACAAAAGCAATAAAATTCTTAAACGGTCGACTGATCTTGTGAAGATCAACACAAATAATTTAGGACCACAAAAAAGAGAAAGGGCGCCGTCGTAGTAAATTTGTCCGTTCGCTAGAGGAAATGGCCCTCTCCCGCGGTAGACCCCTGAAGGACCGTCAGCAAAGAAGACGCCTCTTGTTTAACGGATATAATCGATCAAAATTTTAATGATTAAAGGAAAAAGTATTTTTCTAGATTTACAAAATTTCTGGAGGTGCACGACTCGGAACCTTCGAGAAGTAGGCACCTTTTCCTCTCGAATTATCAGAATACCGGCGGTCACTCATGTCATTCGGGGAGGTTCTTCGGACTCGGCTTTACCAAGGGTAGATTCATTTGCTTATAGCACAAGTAGCTATCAAACTTGGGCTGAGGTATTTATTATTGCTTATACATGTTAACTTGAAAACAATGTAAAATTCCAACTGGCAAACTCGAAGTTAATAAGCGTACGTTGCAAATGAATCCATCCCATGCTACCCGTGATAGTATACTACCAAACCACGTGAGCTGTAATCGAGAATGCCGCACCGCATAAGTGTAGGCCACGTCTTTGTCACATCCTGATCATCTGAATACAAGAGTATGCTCGGTTGGTAGTGGTTAGAAGTCTCTTGAGAATGATTAGATGAAGAATTTTCATTTCCTACTCAAAAGAAAGATATGGAGCCTGGTACCAGTTGCTAACCATGGCCATCAATGATTCCGATTTCAAAACAGGCTAAAAGTTTGTGAAAGGTTTGAACCCTGGAGTCATTTCAATAGTATGTTTAGTTTTACCTGCTTCAGGTAAAAAGTTTCACAAGGACTCTGATCGTTCACTGACGGAGTGGTTATTAAAAATTGTTCTTGGGGAAAATCGTCATCACAGACAATAAAAACGAAACGAAAAACATTGACTGGTACCTCTATTTGACACAGCTTGACACGCGTTTGTATTACTTCATTTAAGAACATCCGGGGTATTAAAGGCAAAGACAGTGATAACTTTAGAAGACAAATCTGTAATTTTGAGGATGTTGAATGACCCTAAATTACTGCATGAACGAAAAAATTGATAAGACAACTTTCTACTAAAGAGGACATGCATTGAAAATAAAACCAATCAAAAGTTCATCTTTTTCATCTAAGGAATGTTCAATGATTGCTCCTTCCTATACCACTGAGCTTGCTTAGATAACGAGCAGCTTGGCAGATGCAGTGTATCGTCAATTGCTTTATTTACTACGATAACTGCAATCATTGTTATCAGACGTGCTGGGATTTGTATGACGTTTCCCTCTGATCAAAGGCATAAGTTTCTTTAATCGTTCTGATCAGTCTTGGAAAAAATGGTTATCAATGAAACGGGACCAGGCTTACCGCGATAGACATGAAAAACATACGGCGACATTGCACGCACTTTGTAAATACGGTCTCTTACATCCCGAGCGAGTGGGATCCGCCGTGTATGGCTATCATAGCTACTAGACTGTACTAAAAGGCAGCAAGCTATAGTTGAACTGACTCATCCTTTTTATCAAGCTGCTCAAACCCACCTCCGATTACCTTACATGGCATCATAGATGTATCTCTTCGTTTTCCAATCTCCCAGTGTGCGCTTTTCATATTTAATGAAACACTGTTAATTGTTTGATGATATATTATTAACCCCGGTACACATCAGAGCTGTGTCAGTAGACCAAAATCTTAAGCCATCGATGTCATCGATAGGATAGTGTATGTAGGTAAACACTACGTGAGGTTACTAACTTTCTAGAACAATTATCGAGCACGCCTTCCGTCAATGGCTTCAATGATTTCCTGCTCAATTTTTTAAAAAAATATATTTGAGGCTCATTTGAGGCGGGAAAGGTCATGCCTTGGCGGTCGAATCCAAGTAGCCGTTTGTGAAAGTGAAATGGTGAAAAATCGAGAGCTAGAGCGCCGTAGTCCTTCGTCAGAGTGAATCTCGTCGGTGTCTCGGTTTAGAATTCGTTCCGACGAAGGGCTGGCGCTCGAAACTTTAGCTTTTCAGTCTCTTTTAGTTGGTAAATTCCGTGAATTGACTTTAAGAAATGGGAGGTTCCTGCAGGCCGCATATCGCGCAATGCTTCGCGGCAGGACATAATTAAGAGGAACAACTTTTGCGGGTGCTGAGCACCACTTGAAGATATGTACATTGAAAGAGCGGGTCTACTTCATACCGGTCGGTTTTACCGTAATGGTCCGTAATCAGTTAGGAAATTATTCCCTGCCGGAACTGTTGTAAGTAACCGCTTTATTGAGGTTCACTTAGTTGACTGTAATGTCCTGACCTGTTATCTTCTGGAGTAAACTCCATGATAAAAAAACTAAAAACTGAATCATTTGATAATGCAATTCTTGAGCTCTGACTGGCTTAGCCATCATGGTATACGAGCATTATACCATGCTAGAGCTCCAAATATGGTAACTGTACGCGTCCGCTCAAAATTAAAAACAAGCTGAAAATCGGTTGTTTTCACAAAAAAAGTCGGAAAGAATTCTCGATATTTTGTGGGCGTTTTTAATAAAACAATTATTCCACCCGCGCTTGTTGGAGATGAGATGATTATAGCCAACTCATATCCAACGTGCACTCGTGGAATAATTGTTAATAATTGTTAAATATAACACCCTTTAACTGGAAATGCGACGGGCGAAAAACGACGATCACATGTTTTTTTAAAAACAATGAAAAAGAGGACAAATTATTTGCACATCTTAATAAAATAACTGGGATTATAATGTTGACTTTCTTATGTCATTTTCCAGCTTTGCAAATCTAATTCACCAGTCACTAGTTTCAAATATGCCGAAACATCGCCGGTGATTTCTGTGAACATTATCCAGTCCTTATCAGATGGCAATGGCTAGCAAAACAAACTGCCGATACATTTAATATGTGTTACAGGAGTTCAGTATATTATAAAAATGGGTTAAAACAGGTCGTCGCAAAGAGCGGCTTTCAATTTTGGAACTCAAAAAAAACTGGCCGAAACTGTTCGCTGAACATGCGATTCACTGTGTTGTCCCGTCTTGAAGGACCAATTAGAGCCAGCATATACATAGGTCTTTTTGCAAACTGACTGTGCGGCATGCTGATATTTCAACACTCATTATAAGATGGGAATTCTCACCTGTTAGCTCAGGGTTAGCCCAAGAAGTTGAAACACCTCATTCATTAATATATCGTTGAATGGTCAACATCGACAAAGTTTTAAAAGCCTTATGTGACCCCGGCATTTATCAAAAATTAGAACTACTTGTGTTTTCAATAGGTAAAAAAAAAATGTTAAAAATGTTGCTCAATTTTTAGTGAAAAAAGCAAAGTTTGTGTCTGGGAATTGAGTGATATCTTATGTTGTCTGCTGAGACACATTGCCGCCGATAAGGTAGGCCGAGTCTTGACAGTCTTGGCGTCAGTAAAGGGTTGTTTAAATGTTTTGAGCTTGTATTTATATTATGCTGACGTTTTGTCAACAGTACTGCTGTAATATAATTTACCTTTGGTGAGAGTCTGCAACATGCATCAAAAACAGAAGAAATAAGTTATAATACAATTCTTCCACACAAGGGAAAAGGATCGATGAAACAAAAGATACGATCAAACCTGTATTTAGAGGTCACCCTCGCATGGGAAATGGATTAGCGATCACTTACAGGTTTGAAAAAAAAAAACGAAGAGTTATAAATCAAGAAAATGAACATGGTGAAAGAGCGAAATATTAATCCCAAGACAATTTTACCTCAAAGTGTCTCTACCTCTTATTGTGCCAAAAAGAAAGGAAAATAAAGATCGCTGTAGTCTAAACGCCATATACAGTGTATCTGCTGCACTTGTTTGGTACATCTTGTCAAAGTGACCTTTTAATGGAGGTGAAGACAATAGAAAATAATTCGTTGGGACCTCGCAAAAGGTGACCGCGACCGCCGCTTATTAAGGTCAGTTTTGCAGTAATTAAGGACATTAAGGGAAAT